CACTGCTCAGAGGAACCAACATAATTTTATGTCAGCTACATGTTCTCATGCCTGAATGCTCTCTCAGACATTAAACCAAGGCGTTTATTGTGCATGGATCATCACATCTTGTATTTTCTGCTTCTTTTTTTTACCATTAAAGAAGTTTAAGACTGTCAGTAATGAAATTGAGCTCATTCAGCAAACAGTTTTTCTTCTTAATTAGCTTTAATTTTTTTCTAAGAAAAGTGTACATTTTGTCCGTTTGTGTTTTTGTTTCAAATGTTGATTGATGTCACGATAGGACTTTTTTATAGTTTTTATGTCAATGGGATTGATCTGTTGTACATTTCAATGAGAAAGATAAACAAAAGTGGAATTCTTGTAGCAGTGGTAAAATGACATCATTGTGAAAATGGCTTTAATTAATGTGAAATATTTTTGACATGATGTTGAAATGATTTTATGCATGAAACAAACTGAAACAACAAAGGAACATGACTGTGATTGTGCATCAAACAGACTTGCCCTGCATGGGATTGCAACAAATTCCCAGCTGAAAAAAGACAGCCGAAAATTCATTTTCCATAACTTGGGGCACCTGAAACTGGGCTGACACTAAAAGGTCATGTGACATCATCTTTATGAAAATGAAAGTAATATGATTTTTCATTCTGGGTCATATTTTAAACAAAGTAATAGTGATTTGGTTTTTCGAACCTGCACCTTTTTCTTAAGATGAGTAAGTTCATAGCTGGTCATGTGATCAAAATGTGATTTTTAAAAGTATGAATTACGTCTTTCTTAACACAAATTTTTCATGTAAACTTCAAGGGAAATGTTGAAAAGATGATGTGCTATCTGTTACTGACAGCAAATCTGAGCGTAACTATTGAATGGTTAACAAGATACAAGCAAAAAGTAGTTTCGGCCACCAGTTGGAGGGCAAGAGTATGCCCTCCAAGATGGTATCCAATACAAATCATACTACTTTATTGAAAAAATCGAAGTGCCATAAAATATCTTCGTCTCAAATTTGGGGTGTAAAATAATTTTTATGTGCTCTGTGAATTTTTGGCATCAGCAAGATTCCAACTCATTGTTTAAAGGAAGTTTTGGTCATGTGACCTCTTAATGCAAGTGGCCTATGGAACAATCTTATGGACTCTTTTGGCAGTGAAGTGACAACTTGATGTTTTGACCTTATGACTACTCACTGATAACACAAATCACAAGAGGTCAGAGGTACTTCAAGTGCATACACATTATGTCTTATGTAATAAAAAGATTTAATCAGTTTTGGTGTTAATTAATAGGCTTCAAGTTAATGCTGAACATTGTCTCTTTTACTGTCTTGTCTACTGCATCTTTATTGCTAATAATAAAAATGATCACCCTTGTGGAATGCCTTACTGACTGCTTAATACAGTTTGAATTATTAATACAGGTTCGACTAACCTAACCTAAGAGTTATTCAACAAAACAAAGATTGTGAAAAAGCAAATTCTCCATCCCATGACAAATCAGCCTCAAAATGATTCTACCTCTGTTATGCCAAAAGAAAACAGGTAAAAGACCACTGTCTTGACACCATGCACAGTGTATCTGTTGTACTAGTATGGTACATATTAACAAAGTGGCCATTTTATATAGGTGAAGACAATAAAAAATAACTCATGGGAACCTGAATACTGAATAGATATGAGCTCTTACTACAGGTCAGTTTTACAGTTATCAAGGAAAACTATTTCTGGAACTTTGGTTAGTGACTGCTTAACCTTTTAAGTCCCAATGGTGACCAACATCAATTTTCTCCCAACAATATTCATACCTTGTCAAGAGATAAGGTTATGAGAATTTATGAAAATAATGATCAATAAAGAGAAAATGCTTTGATCTGCTATCAAATTCTCCCAACTAATTCTTAAAGGAAATGTATGGAGATCAGTTTGGAGAATTTGTATGTGGATATTGGGGCTTACAGGGTTAACAGAGAGTGATCGTTTAGTACAAGTTTGACAGTACTACAATCACTACTGAGGTTATGTATTTTTCCTACATCTGTAAAAGGCAGACATTTTAATCCCTTTGCTCCTCACACTGCTCACTGTACAATTTAAGTTACATTCCAAGGAATAGTTATGTGATTGTTCAGTAGGACTTTAAGAGAACACCTAATTTATAATATATAAAATATATTAGTTTTTCTGTTGAAAACTACAGCAGTGTTAAAGGCCAAACTTTGCCTCCTGTTGTTTGTCAGTTAATTCATCAAGTAATTCACCAACAGACAACTCAATTCTTGCATTACTGCCTACACCTTGAAACCTGTCCAGAAAACCTTTTGGAGGCTCACACCTTTCAAACTTAACATCTTTACCGAATCTCTCCATACACAGTGCTTTTAAATCAGAGCAAAACCCATCAGCTAGTCCCATAGAAACTGCATCCTTGCCAATGAAGAAGTCACCAGAGAATGCTGACTTGTGATTGGGATCAAGATTTGGTCTCCTCTCCTTTACCAACTGTATAAAGTTGTTGTGGACACTGTGTAGTATCTTGGCTGTATGATCGACATCTGCTTGCTTGAGGGGTTTAAAGGGGTCCATACGGACCTTGTTCTCCCCAGCTGTAATAAGTCGCCATTCAAGACCTAAACAAGACACAAATATAAGTTAGCTGTCTATTCACTATTGGTTTTACTTTCAACACCCATGTACAGAACATTATTTGACCATGATACACAGACATTTTTGCAGTAAGTTGTCTTGAAATTTTACTGCAACACAAATTGCAAGACACACTGCTTTCTATTACTGGGATTCCCATGTAAGCCCCTCATTTTTATGACAATTTTGAGATTATGCAATCTCATACTGAGCTTGCACTTCCTGTGCTGAGTGGCATGCTTATTTTAGGTGAGGCTTCACAAGGCGAGGAAACTTGCCTTGCAAGAGCAGAAGAAAAAATCAACAGACAATTTGCCAGAAAAATTGTCCACTGGAACGACTATTTCGTCCAACCGCTGACGCCCCTTACCCAGCCAGCCGCTGGCCCCACAGGTCCGTATGAAATAAACCGTGCTCACTGTTTGAGAAAGCTTTGAACTTACCTAGCTTTTTAATGGCTTCTTCGAAGCCAAAATTTCCAAACAAGGCACCAATAGATCCCACCACAGAGTTAGGGTCCACAAAAATTTCATCTCCAGCCAATGCAAGCCAATACCCCCCTGACGCAGCATAATCTTCAGTAAACGAGAGCACGGGAACTTCAGTCGCTTTTGACAAATTTCTTATTCTTTGATAAATCAGACTGGATTGAACAGCACTGCCTCCTGGGCTATTAATCTCCAGGCAAACAGCCTTTGGTTTGACTTTTTTGATGTCAAATGCCTTGCCGAGGTGCTTGTCAATTTTCTGCAAGTTGAGTCCTTGCCCTCTTGACTGTGGCCGAATCGTGCCTTGTAGTCTTACAATTCGAACGACATTTTTCGCCCCCCAAGGTAAATAACTGCGAATCTTGCTCATGATTTAGCTCGTCGATCTAAGCAAACTAAGAAAGTGCTTTGAGAGAGTTATATAAAGTTACTTTTGCGAACGAGAAAGTGCAACTGAACGCAAGTGTTGCATGATCAAAGAGTAAGACTGGAGACTGGTATTTTGTTTTGGGTGAGATTCCGCTGACAAATTATGAGCAAGCAAGTTTTCAGGAAAAATGGAAGTTGCGTTTGTTTTCACGAGGTTTTGCTCTTTTTACTAGGCACAGAAAATTGCGAATAAGCCATAGTTAGCCAATGGATAATCAAAATAACCGTATAACAGAAATCGATAATGAAGGAAACCATGGCGAAGCTACTGAGAAACCTTCGAGAATTTGTGATCAGGATTCAATCTCAGCAAACGTGAAATGCGAAGAAGATACTTCATCGCGCTCTTCATTGCAGGACTCGCAATCAAAACCAACACCAGGGAACTCTTCTCAGACCGTGGACGTAGTGGAAATAAGCAGCGATGATGAACTTCAAATTGTGGAAGTGAGCATGACGGAAAGCGTCAAAAAAGCAGCTCCGGGCGATGGAACTGATCGTGACCAAAATCCAAGCTCGTCGACAACGACGTCTGGAAGAACAAGTCCAAAAGACATTACATGCTCTGTTTGTCTCAGTGAATATGAGAACAAAGCTTTTCTAGACAAGTGTTTTCGTATCCTTGAAGCTTGTATTTGTGTTCATTGGCTTCTTGCGTAATGCTAGCTTTTACAAAATTAAGGCTTATTCTAAGGTTACGATTGTTCAAAAGGTGGATTGTCAGGATTTAAACGGAAGTGAATTCCTTCATACGTATCTCACCCTTGCTCCAATTAAGAAGTTCTTTTCCGGGTACTCCGGTTAAGGAACTAACAAATACAAGGCCACTCATGTCCACCTTGTTGGACGGCTTTAAAGAAGGAGACATATAACAATAGACGCTTTAAAACCCAACATTTCTAAACTTCATTTCGACCAGGAATGGTAGAGGAAGAACCATTATGTAAATGTGCTACCTCTAAATCATTGTTATTTAAGCTTATTTGTTAATATTTATTTTAATATTTTTCTAGAGGATAGATTTCTGCCCCATTGTTCTACAATGAGGCAGCAAAACAATGAAGCAGATATGGACTGTCCACTTGCATGCATTTTACCTTAATCATCCATTTAGATGCTTTTTGTTACTTCTGTATTTTGCAATGGTCCGAGATAGTCCAGACATGCCCTCTGTGTAAGTCAAGCTTCAGTTCTATAATTCATAGTGTCAAATCTATGGACAACTACCAGCAGGTAATTAAGTTCTCACATCTTTATCAAAGATTGCTTGGTGCTCACATCATGTCCCTAGTTCTTGTTGCTGGAATGTTAATTCCTTCAGGTTGAAAATCAAGCAACATTGATTCCAGGGGCTTAATCCTTTACGTCATGGAAGTGACGAAAATCAACTTTCTCCTAACAATATCAATACATAATTAAGAGAAAATGTTGTGAGAATGTATAAAGTAATCACTTCATGGAAAATGCTTTGATCTTCAAGAAAATTCTCCCAACTAATTCATTAAGGAAATATATGGATCAGTTTTGAGAATTTGTATGTGGATATTAAGGGTTAAGGCAGGTCCAGGCCCAGGAATGTCAGAAAAAAGGGGGTTCGGGGATGGTCTCAACTCCTTACTCAAGGTCTAGGTTACATGAATAATTTATTGATTTATTGATTACAGAAAGTTTGGAAGCATCTATGTCCAGAAATTAAGATGCTGAAAACAGATTTTCACAATATTTTATAAAATGAAATTTTGGCTTGTTTTGAGCTACTTTGGGAATTGAAAGTATTAAGCCCTGGCAGCTGTTAGCCCTATTAAGTTCCAAGTATGGTTTTATTTCATTTTAGTTTATTTGTTTGTTTGTTTTTTTACAGCATTACTTATCAAAACCAGAAGTCAACAGTACGGCAATTCAGCATCAGTCTCAAAGTGATGGAAGACGGTTCCGTTATCGAACAACATTAGCAGATGGGAGTCAGCATCGGCAACAGACTCATAGAAGACAACAGGGAGTGAATGACGCTTGGGGTCAATGGGAGCAACGACGGCAGGCTCATTTGTCATTACAGAGAAACAGAGGGTTCATAGCTAGGGAACGGAGAAGGTGCATACATGTACTTCTGTTTTTATGTCTTTTTAATATACTCTAGGTACTAGCTCAAACATTCTGCCTTCTTTTGGCTCTTACTTCATGAATAGGACTTAGTTACATGTAACAAAGGGGAACAAAACACCATCAGAATTCTGTATTTCTTCGAACTGGGTTTTTCCTTTTTGTTCCATTAACTCTGTTTCAAAGTCTCATGATGCATAAAAAGCATTCACTAGTGAGAACTGCTCCTATGAACCTGTATTCATTTGTTTGGCTAACAAGATATTGATCTTATACTATAAAACAAACACAGGACCATTTACAGTGGCAATCTATGGGTGCAAGGAGTAAGTCAGACAGGACGACCTCGGCAGAGAGATATTTGTAAGTGAAATTTACCACCAGTATAACAACTACGAAAGAATAGTTCATCAACATGACTCTATATAGTATTTAAGCAAATTTATCACAGACGCCAATTCCAATATTACAAATAAATATTACATATTTGTGGTGTATTTTTTCCTAATTAAATTGTTTACATATTCCATAGCTCCGGCATTTTTTCGCGTCAACCCTGCTTGTTCCCATCGTTTGATTCCATGGCTTAACAGAGATCTGAGAGTGTTACTGCACGACGAGGAGAGTCATGTTAATTTTCTTCTTCAGATTATTTTGTCTCTCATCACCAAGTGAGTAATTAAGTCTTGGTTCCCTTTAATATGCTTAAGGAATGATCTTAAATAGTCCAAGAAAATACAGCTTTTTGTTTCACATTTTAATGCCATCCAAAAGACTGCAAGTGACTTAGGAAAACCCCTTGACAGCCAGAAGTATGTTGAAATGGTTTCTTTCCATGTGAAACTGCGGCAAAAAATGTAGAAGGCTACGCCAATTATGTTAAGCACAGGATACAAATAGACTGTCAAGGATACTGGGCTGCCTGTGGTTAAGGGATTTTTCCTTTTTTTGTCCCACCATTTTGAGTCGGAAGAAGGCCCTGGAACTAGATCAGTACTTCAAAGTCAAATTTTGACAACTTGGTTCAAATAATTCAAAAATCAGTGTAGTACTAGATTGAAATTAACAGAAAGTAACAAAAAACCATAATATAAAATAACATAATATAAAATAATATAACCATAACCATAATATAAAATAACAGAATATAAAATAACAGTAAATAAAATAACAGTAAATAAAATAACAGAAAACCATTCAAAATGTCGCATGAAAAATACAATGGTTACATGACCAAATAATTCTAATATTTCATCCGATTTAAAAAAGTTCAACTAACAGTAGTATAATATGATTATAAAGTAAACGAAACCCAGGATCAGAGGCATTTTGTAAACTGTAATTTTTATCTTGTTTTTTTTTTCCCCAGGGTTGAGCTCACTTCAGAAGACTTTTGTAATCAACTGCGCCCTTTTCTGTTTGACCAAACAGAACATTTTATTCACGAATTTATAAGCTTTGCTCGTTCGCCATTTGATATCACTGCTTATGATGAGCGTGCGCAGTATAGCTGGCCTAACGAGTCACGTGACCAAGTTAGAGACACGCCCACAGTGTTCAACAGTAGTTCTGCAGGTTTGGATCAATTATCTAACTGTACTTTTTTCTCTTTGTCTTAATGCTTTCTTGAATCGCGCGACTTCGAAAGACGTGCGTCGTCAGTAATGAGGATGCTTGTGTGTATTAGTCAGCAAAAGCTTTCAAATCTCCAACGACAAAAAAAAATTGCAGAGAAGCGCAGAACGCTACAATGAATTCAGAGGGTTCTCTTGGAGAATACCTCAAGCAGAGAAACGTATGCTGGACGTCACCCAAAGGGTAGAACAACTATAGTGGAACCTCGATTTAACGAAGGACCAAGGGACTGGCAAAGTGTTCTCAATACCGAAGTTCTTTTTCATATATTTCACTATTACTTGGGTAAAGAAAATCGTTCCTTATACCGAGGGCTTCGGTTTATAGAGGTTCGTTATATCGAGGTTCCACTGTTGAAGACACGAGATGTACATGTATTGTCGTTGTGTCAGTCTTGCGTACAATATAGTTCCTGTGCAACCATTTCCGCAGCTGCCACTTGCGTGACGAGTTACTGGTTCTTTCGTTGAGTGTCGATGTTTGCTGAAATTTATTCATTTGCTTGTCCTTTTTTTCGTTGGTTCATGTTTGGCTTCTCTTTGTTCTTGTCATGCAGGTTGGCAAACCCCAGCACCAGGCCCGTCTGGAGTATCTCTGTTTGATTTGTCCGAAACAGACTGGAACAGAGATTCTCCAGTGTTACGAATCGACGTCACCAACTGGTCTCCTGATTCATCTCCAGGCCAAGCAGGAAATTTTGAGCCCAGTACAATGGGGACTGTGACCATCTCATCAAGCAACTCTTCCCAGACTGTATCAGTGGAAAATTTAGAAAGCGATGAACGTTCTAATGGTTCCCCCTGTTTTAATGTGGAAAGGAAGAGACGTATTTCGGTCACTGAGACGACAAGCAATGGGGAAAATCGCGGAAAATCGAGAAAAAAGCATAGTAAACACAAACATAAACATAGGCATAAACACAAGCGCAGGCATGAGCGTAACGATTCGCTGAAGTATAACAAAAGCAGACGTTCTGACAGCCCGGAAAGACACCCCAGTATGCCAGGTCCGAGCAATCGCGTTTCCGTTGATTCGTCGATAACTGAAATCCCGGTAGATGTCATTATTTTAAGTGATGACACGGCCTCGCCGGATGTTTTTGATAGTAATAGCAAGTCTAGAGGCATTGATTTCTCAAATTGCCGCGGAAGAAGAAAGCGGAAGCCGTCATTATCGCGGTCTCCGCCATCAAGATCTACAAGTAAAGGCGAAAGGAGCCTGGGAAGTAGTAATAGACATCGGTCCAGGTCAAGGTCAGAATCAAGGGAGAAAAGAAAAACTAGCCCGCGTGGTGAGAGGTCTTTATCTAGATATTCAGAAGCTCATACACGTCGTGAAAATTCTTGTTCGAGAAAGACAACGAAAGCTTATCGTCGATCTAGATCTAGGGAGGGTGCTTCGCGCTCACGGGAACAGAGCAAAGAAAGATTTAATAGGGGGAAGAAATCGCGATCACGATCACGATCGAGACAGTCGGATTCAATCTCCCAAAAACGACATCGCTCGAAATGGGAAAGACGTTCTCGGGAGGATTCATTGCATGAACAATCCAACTCTTCAGGCTTTATAAAGAAAAAATACGAACGAGAAAAACGGAGGTCGCACTCTCGTTCTTCGAGTCCGTCACAGTCTCGATCAAAAGGGAAGACAGCTCTGGGCTCTCGAGGAGCGAAATCTAGAACATGGAGGAAAAGTGACCGTGATCCACATTTGCGATCTATATCGCCGTTGCCGATACGGCACGAATCTTCCTCATTTTCACGCGATTCTAGATCGCGTTCTCCAAAGAGAGACTCTCGATCACGATCACGACATCGATTGTCACTGTCTTCATCACGAAATCTTACAGACACTTCACTAAATTCACGTTCTCTGTCACAAAAGGCAATTGAGTCAAAAGCAAATTCAGCTTCAGAGTCGAAAGAATCAACTGACCAGAGTAATGAGCATATCAGGAAGGAAATTGAAGATTTAGAACTTCGTATTAATGCAGATAAGAAGCGATTATTAAAACTACTTATCAAGCAGGAGAGAACGAAAGGCGATGGAATTACAGCCACCGGCGAGGAAACTGAAAGTGCACCGCGTGAAGAAGACCGTCTCTGACCTTGATACCTGAAATGACAATCAGCCTAAAACGCAGTAGACTGCGTAGCACAGCAGGCACTTGAAAGTAATGGGCGCACGAACGAACGGGGCTCGCGTGCCCGCGTTCTCTCTCTCAAGCGCTTGTTTCTCGCTCTTCGCGCATTCGTTACGATGTCGCTGAGCGGAAACTCAACCCGTCCCCAGTAACTTACGCGGACACCGCGCCTCTTCTGGACTGAGAGGAGAAAGACCTGGAGCTGAGCTGGTAAAGGACGTTGTCGGAAGAGTTTGAAGAGAAAGTCTGGGTTCATAGTTATGCAGTCTTGTCTCCCTTTGTCCCTTACCTCCTGACGGACAACTTAAAGCGCCTCACGATGAGCAATAAGGAAGCGACTGGTGATGACAAGAACCATGGGAGACTTTTTCATTTAACGACTATTTATTTCCTCATGTTAAAAAATATATCGACAACGACAATTCAGACACTGCTCACTGACAGAAAATTTAGTCATTTATGAATGGAGCTGATTCAGTATTTTACCCTTTTTTAAATAAAGAGTGCACTCTTGTTGTAAAAAATAAATATACAAAAGGTAACAGCATTGAGTATTCTCGTGCGTTCTTTGAAATGTTGAAAAGCAATAATATAAATTGACAGAACTCAAATCCAGCTCTCTGTAATGCAAGAAATCTCATTGATTAAAAAAAGTGCAGTATCCCCTGAAATTAGAAGTAGAAAGAATGACCTCTGAGGCAAATATAACATCATCAAAATATAAAACAATCTCATCAACTAAAATCAGAGAATAACTGATCCACTAGAAGGGCGTCTACACAATTGACTCCGGAGGATTTTCCTTCCATGCTACGGCATGTATTTCAACCCTTGTTTCTGCACATTTACTGAAAAAAGAGCATAAAAATGGCATTTAATTTTGATAATACGAAACTCGATTTAAGGTTAATCGTGTTCGGATTTAGTGATCTCTGGTAAAAAGTCGTGTGTAGCTTGTAACATTTACGTTGATATGCAATCAGGTGGTCCTTCTTTGCTGCTTTTTCTTTGGATGGCGATTTCTCCTTTGCCCCTCGAAGACCTTAGCGCCCCTTCGGAAAAAGAAAACGCCCGCTCGCAGGTTGCATTAACGTAAACAACGGACTTGTTTGTTGTTATGACTGTTCGAGTGAAGGTGCATTATGGGAAATGTGGATGTGGCGTATGCGACTCGAAGGGTCTGAAAAACGGCTTAGCCAATGAATGAGCAAAATATTGTGCACCGGAAGTCGTGTTTAGTCCTTTTCGCGCCTTCGAGTTGTCATTACTTGATGTTGGGTTGTCTTCTCTCTGCCTACTATCTTACCTTTGTGGTCTCAAATTGTGACGATCCGCAACTGCATTGAGAACACTTACATCCGCGCGTACGGCTCTCATTAACCGCTGCAGAGTAGAACAAGAAAGATAAGATAAGCAAAGTCCTAAACAAGACCGGAAGCTCTCCAGCATTGATATGATGTGTCTACAACTCGGCTTTGAGTGCTTAAACTTATTTCGGGAATGACCGAACTTCTTAACATTTGCCTGTCCAAATTTTATCCGGGGATTTGAGCCAGTCAGGAACGGGGAAATGTTTTGAATGTATAATATATTGAAACAAATAATATAAAAAAAGCTTTGACCTTACCTCTCTGAAAGAGCCCTTATGATGAACTATCTCCGTTATCGCTCGAACGGGAATCGCAACAAACGAACACAGAGCCAACAGCCACGCGACGGCCTGGGCCCAATCAGGGTAGACATACCCATCGTAACCGAGTCTTTTCCATTGAGTAATACTTCCCAATAAAATAAGCTGTGATGTAAAAAAGATGGAGAAACTATTCAGCCCTTCTCTGAAACGTACTGGTTTTACTCAATACGTCACGAAAAATCTAAAGATACCAGACACAACAAAGCTAAACTATACTATATTCGTTCCCAATTCCGACTTTTTCAGAATTGAAAGAGATGAAATTTTCGTGACGGCGCGTCTGTTCTCATTGAATTTGCCCGAGGCTTGACTGGGGAAGAGTCTATATTCGCGCATGCGCTCCCAGTGATTCGCGGCATTAATGTGAGAGGAGACTAGGACTCAGAAAAGGTAAGATGTTTTCTTTCCTTATCCGATATTTTTTACTTACCATTCCAACAGCAGGTGTCACATATTTCCAGCAAACTCTAAAATACAAGTTTGGTTTCTTCCCAATCATGGAATAGATGTTATCACAGAACTTATCAGCCCCTGTCGTAAAACAATGGCAGAATTATGACTCCTTCTTCACGATCAGGTGATACTATCTTTGAGGCAGTACGATTGGCCACTTAACAAACACGAAAGGAACTGGAGCCGAAATGTGTCCGGCAGTTGTTTTTAGGATCATCACTGGGGACACGCTGCTATTGGCCAATGTTTTTACCTGTCACCAGTAACAGTCCCAGAAGTCTTTGCGAAAGGTAACTCGGCCCAGTTTCCCTCTTGTTTCTAAAGTGGCGAATTGACGGGTGAAATGGTACCTACCGTATCCCCAGCTGACGGCTAATGCCTCAAAAATGACCACAAAAATCAACGATAAACCAGCGCTCTGGCTGTCAAAGATATTCAGCACATAGATTCCACCCTAAATAGAAAATAACAAAAACACTGTGATCGGATCAGAAATAGCCTAGGACCAGGCTCCGCTGTGGGTAAAAAAGGCGTAAAAAAATCAAAAATCGGTGAGCGAAACGAGCCGGGCGGGAGTCTGAGCCTTTCCTTCCTCTCGTTCGCTCGCCGATGTTTTTTGCTGTTTCATCCCGTTTTTTGCCTTTTTAAACCCACCAAGGAGCCTCAATGGTCCCTGGCTAGATGAGATAACTTAACGGAATACTAGAAACAATTGGCTTATGCTACACATATGCTGAATTTGAACATAGTAATTATGAGGAAAGCATTTAGAGTATCACTGCTTTGTGACGCAGTCTTGGTAAGACAAATCATTCGTGTAAAGGACGACACAACAACAAAAAAACAACAACAACAACAATTTTATTGTACCAATAGTAAAAACAGAATTGAGATTATAACAAGCTAATAATAATTTGTGGTACACAATTGGAGAAGCAAAAACACAAGTAAACAATAAAACAAAAACTGTCAACGGTCCTCTCCCCTAGCTTCAAGAAGGGTTCTACAAAGGAACCCTCCGTTCACAGCGCCCTACACACAGAATCACATCAGAGAATCTCTATATAAAATTCGCAGGGGTGGGGTTACTATCCTCGCAAAGCAACGTTACCTGAGTAACACAGGAAAGTCCAATAAGGTAGGATACGAGGCACACGACCAGGAGAACTAATCCCTTGTATGCCCGCAGTTTGCTGAAACTGTCCATTAACGCTGCCATAATTGTGGCCGTGAACACAAACTGTACGTCGACAAAAGGGCAAGAATATGAATTAGTGCAGAGATAGTTTTATTCAAACGAGTGACGCATCGGGAGAGGCAAGAGGAGAGGGGAGAGAATAGAGGGAGGTGAGCCGATTACCCGAAGGAGAAGAAAGGAAAGGGGGAATCAAGATTAGAGAGAGAGAGAGAGAGGAAAGTGTAGAGGCGAAAGTTGGAAAGAAAAGAAGAGGGAAAGGTTAATATATGGCAAAGGAGGGAGAGGGAAAGAAAACGAAGAAAGATGATCGCTATGAGCGGGTAATAAAATCATATGAAGGGAGGGACAGACTTAGTCTGAAATGTCATACGTCTCCACTCCCTAACCCGTGGGGGCGCGCTTTATCTCCCTCGCGTCCCCCACGGGTTAGGGGCTGGGGGATGTAAGACATTTCAGATTAGGACAGACTGGTAGTACTGAATAGAGAGGAGGCAATTGGGCCACTATCTTTTTTTCCTTAAGTACAATACAGTTTGTTCTCAGTGAGTTCTCACATCATCAAGGGGTAGAATTACGAGTCGGCTCACCTGACTTCCGAGTCCAATAGTAAACAGCATAAAGAAAAACAGTACAGCCCAAACTGAGGCACCAGGCATCTGAGCAATGCCTTCTGGGTAGGCCACAAAACCAATTCCCGGTCCTGCAAAAGTCGGAATCGGTAATGCTTAATGTTGGTTCAAATGAGAAATATCAAAGGCGCTAAATCGTAATCATGCTCATAATCTCAATAATTATTATGATCTTCACAGAACCATAATCACAGAAACAGAATCAGAAAGGTAATTTGAATCGTTTGTAATTTTACCAAAACCGATTTGGCAATCACACGCAAATTGTTAGAGAAAGTACATTTGGAGGCTGAAATATGTTGGGATTTTATCGCAGGCAAAGCTGCGCTATTTATTTTTGCGTAATTCTGGAAATAAAGAGTATTGGGGCAGGGGCGGATCCAGGATTTTTTTTAGGAGGGGGTGCACTCGTCTCTTGCTCTACTTCAACACCAATAAACCACATAGTTTTTTTGCAGAATACCAGCTGTATTAGAAAACCGCAGGTCATCTCGGGGGTGGGGGGGGGGTGCGCACCCCCTGCACCCTCCACCTCTCCCCTAGATCCGCCCCTGTGGGGGATGTTTTTTGCATATTGCCGCGATGTTGGAGATTATCATTATGCACTAAAACACGGAACACGGAACACAACGGAACATTCGCGAACACGGAAATGAGCACAAAAAACGAAAAAAACATTTGATCACGTACAAATTTGGAGAATTCCGGTGTTTCGAGAGAGTCATGTCTACTTCTCAACCTCATTAATAATTCATTAAGAAAATACTTGAAATTAATTTTAACCTGAAATCGGATGAAACACTGCTTGACATCCTTAATTTCTCCTTCAAAAATGATTTTGTTTTTCAAACATTCGACACAGTGTTTCATCACCAGATGAAACACCTCGAAGTTCGTCAAAAATACTCCGCTGCGCGTCGTATTTTCAACTCTCTTCTCGGTGTTTCATCTGGTGATGAAACACTGCATCTCATGTTCGATATATTACTTGACTGTTTTTTTACCTGAGGAAACAACCTCTGACACGTCTTTCTTTAGTGTGTGGGCCATAAATCCGATGACGCTGAAAATAGGAAATCCGCCGAACAGACTTGTCATGCAGTTGATCGAGGATACAACAACAGCGTCTCTGGGAACAATGAAGCAACGAAACAGTGCTAAATTTACGATGATGATCATAACAATCGTAACTCCTTGAGTTCGGAAAGTGAGCAATAAAACATCGTTAAGGTTAATTGCTACTCCACGATAGTTTGCAGATGGGTGTCGCACTTGGACAAACACTCTAATTAAAGGTTTTATTTTCATATGTTTACAGAAATGTCTACGCATACCACTGCTTAGCAGACGTCTTTAGAACTTGGAAATAGGCAGATTTAGCAAAGACACGACGTAACGACAGTGACGACGGCGCGCGCAAATAAAAAAATTGGCTTCACCAATGGCAGATTGCCAGAGCGACAAATTGAGCACCGGAAGTCGTGTTCAGTCCTTTCCGCGCACTTCCTCAACTAACTTGCCCGTTCTGTTGCTAAATTACTCCAATAGCTCTTGTAATGGGCAGGAGCCAGGGTCACTTTTGCACGGTGCTATGGATGAGAGATCTCTTAAAAGAGATCTGAGAACTAGGGGCGGATGTCCCCGGGGGGGTGGGGTGAGGAAGGGGGTCGCTGGGTATCCGTGTACCCCGCTTCTTACCTTAGATACACTCTCCTTTTCTTACCTAATCCTTGATATACCCCTAATAATGCTGTGAGGAAAAACCCAGCTTTACCGTAAAGAATGTAGTAGGACACCCGATGATCGATTGTTTGATAGTGTGTTGTTACCTTTCACAATTGTTGTTAAATTTGTTGTAGCTAGCAAACGTAACCAGACCTCCGAGACCAACGCTGAGTGAGAAAAAAATCTGTGATGCAGCATCGATCCAAACCTAAAATACAACAAGAATTCCGTTTACGTCAAAAAAGGCAACATGACAGTGTTGCTTTGCAAGGTTTGCAACCACGTGACAAGGCGGCCATGTTGGTACTCACGAGAGTGATTAGACACGCTACATGTAGATGCGTCTTTGTTGAAAACGGAGAAAAAAATCTCCATTTTAAAAAATACCGGATATCTGTTGACGGGACCTAAATGTATTTTTTCTCGAAAAAATTACATGAAAAAAAGGAGTTCAGAAGGAGAGAAATGCTTTTGTTCTTTACAATTAAAATGGCCGCCCTGATGTCACGCGCAAACCAGCAGTTACGTCAGCAAAAAATGCACTTTGTTTGAGAGTCAGTGTATTTAGCACGAAAGTACTAATTGGAGACACGATTTTTACCTCTCCAACTGGAGACGGGACCGCCATTTTACCAGTTCATCCGAGCCACGCGAAGGTTTAGCTTAGCCGCTTGTAGTGCAAGGGAGTACCTTCATTTCTCAGTTATTTTAAGACCCTGAGTGTTGGTCCGGCCCCGGCGAACGAACCCGCGACTTCCCCCTCTGCATTCAAGCGCGCTACCAACTGAGCTAATCCTGTCGCAGTTAAGTAAGCAGACAAACGCTTTATACCTGTGGTTCCAAGAGCTTGTTGAAGTCAGGTTTAAGATAAAACATGATTCCGTCGACTGCGCCAGGGAGGGTGACTCCTCTGATCAGCAGGGACAGAAGTATAGCGTACGGGAAGATGGCGGTGAAATACGCAACCTGATAATAAAAGAGAATAACACGAAACTTTGCCGTTTGAGTAAGCTTTCTAACTCGGAAACAGCCTTGTCAGTTATAACCTTACCGGCGGCTAACCTGCGTGCTGTTACGACATTCATTTCTTTTAAGATTCAGTTTATCATAGAGTGATTTTACTTGACCCGTGAAACAGTTAGTAATAACTAGTGCAAAATAGCTACAAATAAACAAAAGAAGACAATAGAATTAGTGCATAATACTGCGTACTGTTCTACTACCTATTTCATGGGGCAAGTAAAATCACTCTAACAACTACACTGTACAACTGCAAATGTGATTATAAAAGAACCAAGATTACTGAAATGGCTATGAATGCGCATGAATAGATAAGGACTGATAAGCTTAAAAATGGAATTAACAGGATTTATTTCTAATTGACTTTGCAAGGGCAATTTTTGGCTAAAAGGAGAAAGGAGGGCGCTTAATCAAGGGGGCACTTATTGAGTAATTTTCCTCCTGTTGTTAATCCAGCGTACCGTATTCCCATCGCACACTTTCCACCACAGCAGTGTATTGGTATAGATATTTAAATTAAAGCTTAAAAAGTTATTGATAAAGTCGCAATATAAAAAGGTTTTACTTGTTTTCCTACCATTAAGAAAGTGTTATGGGGAGGGAGCGCTTACTTAAGAGGGGTGCTTGTTTGATATTTGACCTGGGAAGTAGGCGATTATTCGGGGGAGGGCGCGCGTATTAGAGCGTGGGCACTTAATCGAGGAAATTCATTATGTGTCGTTTGATTTGAATCTGATTGTCCTTCCTTATAAAAGGAAGACAACCAAATTCAAGTCAAACGACACATACTCTCCCTGGCGGGTGTAACTTGTTTTGAAGCTTTTTTAATAATATGCACGCAACTTTTTAATCAGCTGGAATTGGAATTTCTTTAAGATGAAATTGCCATCCCTTTTAAGTTACAGCTAAAACGGTTCCAGAAGAAACCGTTACGCTTGAAGTACTACAGTTTACACTACATTAGTATATGTGAAAGGTGGGCCTGGTTTCTACTTACTTTGCCAGATGACTTAATTCCTTTGTACAAGCAAAAATACACAACAGCCCAGGCGATCAGCAAAGTCGTGGCCAGTGGCAAACGGATTTCACCTGGCTCATCAATTCCATTTGAAATTGCGAGAATGTATCGTCTGAAAAAGAAAAAACCGAAACGTAAATATGTAAATGACTCGCAGCGTTCGCGACGTCTCGGCGTCGGGAGAGGCGGGACTCAGAGGACGGCTTGTTCTAGACATGGGCGAAAAGATCCGTATCTGCTATGGCAGTCATTTACATTACTATTAAGCGAATGGCAAAGGTTTTCAAAATATGCGTGTAAAAAGAAGGAAAACCAGACGCTTCGCGGGTGCTCCCTCTTCTTCATTCGTTCGAAGGCAACTGAAAATTGCACGCGCAATGTAACGTTCAAATGAAATTCAAAAACAAAGACGTGACGTTACATGCGCGCGCTGACTTTGAGAGCTTCAAATAAAATTAACTTCGCTAGTCACTCGATTACTTGCGTTGCACAATTTGAAGAATTATAGTGCAGATAACATACTTAAAATTTACCCTTCAGCAATCTACCCAACGTCAGTTTATCCCTCATTCGTGGTGAACGTTTTTGATAGGCTGTTTTTGAATGAAAAGGAATGAATAAATGAATGTTTTTGGAGACCTTTAGCATCAGATTTTTCTTGGAAAAACGCTCTAATAGCTCTAAGTTGACGCCTACGGCAAAGTTCTCTCTCGGCTTCCCCACCCCCAGGGCTCTGATTTAAAACGGTTGAACCTATAGAAAAACGTTTCACTTACTCCCAGAATTCCTCACTAGGAGATGTGAGTTGCATGGTACAGTTCAGCGGTCTTCCCATAGCCGTGCAATTGTAGGTGAAATTGCCCCAACCTTCTTCACTAAAAAGAAAAAAAATATTAAAAAACGATGAAATCGCCACAGCTAGTGTTTCTGTTGATTACCATATCATTCGATTATGGTAAAAATGTAACTTGAAGCAGCATGGATTTGCAATTAGCGAGTACCTCGTCTTGCATCGTAGCTACGGCGTTGTTAAAAAAAATATTATTAGCATTAAACTTGTCTAACTGTTTTGAGATTGTGACACTTTTAAACAGTTGCAAGACTGACTGATGAACCTGCGTTCCCAACTGACTGAAAAAATTTTCCAGCGAATTGGAATTTGGACATGTTGGTTTTGAAGGAGAGGGAAAACCGTAGTACCCGGAGGAAAACCTTTTGAAGCAGAGAGGAGAACGAACAACAAATTGAGATAAGACTAACTCATATGTTGCGTCGTACACGAACCCAGGCCATATTGGTGTAAGGCGAGTGCTCTCTTGTTTTGTGTCTAGGCTAATTATTTTACCTGCAAAATGCTGTGTTCCATTCGTTGCCGCACGATTTCCAAGCAATTTCCGGTGAAAACGAGTGGTAAAGATACAAAAGGCTCCACGCAATCACCACATTGTAATATACTGATATCAAAAATGAAGTTATAACCATAGCCACCCCAAGACCTGTCAAACAGAAGAGTTTTTTTAAAAATGATTTATTCACTAAATTGTGCTCTGGAACGTAAAAAGTCAAAAAAGATCGAAAATAACATGAAGCAAGCAAACTACAGAAAAGGAAAGTTTGTTATCGTATTCCATCGTAAGCGTGTTGCAGCACCAGCGTCAAAAGCTGTTTTAAGATGATTTTACTCTTCTATTTTGCATAATTTTAATACAGGCAACCAAGAACAGATCACACATGGCTGAGTTTAATTAACAACACATGACGCAGTTAACTTAAATTACGACGTACCTTTTAATACAGGACAAACTACCGCCCAAGCCTTGACGGCGCCGAGGCTCAGATACTGTCCGAGGGCCAGCTCAAGGTAGAAGAGTGGAATACCACAGGTTATTAACGTTAGGAAATACGGGATGAGGAAAGAAGCTGTTAATATAGGAAAATTAACATATATAAGCTAATGGCAAATATGTATGAAGCGGACCTGTTTTAATTTACCCTAACTGGAAACGTCAGAAAAAATCTCAAATTCAATGTTGTAATATACTTAAAAACAAAGAGTACAAAGTGGAAGCACATCTAAAGCATAATAAACAGCATCACAGGTAACGTACTGCTCAGTAGCTTTTATTTGAATGGTCACACTTTCAGATTTCGTCCACGGTCTCAAAAGTTAGAACCACCTTGTGCAGCATCAGTAATAAACAGTACCGCGGAAACGTTCGGCTTAATAACTGTCATTCTACAGACTCAAATGTTAGAATGAACAGTCGTGCAACATAAAGTACTGCCCAATAACTCTCATTTGAAAGGTCACATTCAGTTAGGTTTTTCATCCGCAGACCACAAAACTCTGTTAAGTTCTTTTATAAAGTGATACTCTGTGTTTCAATGGTCATTTTTAAAACTATTCATAAACCAGTATATTTGAGAAGTGACAGAATTACCTCCTCCGTTCTTGTAACAAAGATAAGGAAATCTCCAGATATTTCCAAGCCCAACGGCATAACCAATGCACGACATGATGAAGTCGGCTTTTGCAGTCCACTTTTCGCGTTCTTCGCTCACATTGGAGCTTTTACGCGCCGCTTCAGTAGCGGGGTGAACTTTGTTTGACATGTCTTAACTTTGAAGTAACAGTTTCTCTTTACGTATCATTGAAATCCATGACAATATTTTCTTTTCCGAATGAATCAACCTCCATCTCGAAAGATATCGATAAACGCTGCTGAAATCATAAAGCTTAATGAGGTAATTATCTTCCCACGTTCCTAGCGCGCGCATCGGTATGGCTCTAATTGACTTGATAGAGTAATTTGTTGAATTAGACAGTATTTTCCATTATTCCATAAACTATTGACTTTTCTTAGTCCTAAATCGAGAAAGTGATTCCTCGATGTCTCTTAATCAATCTAATAACTTGTTAAACAAACAAATTAACAACAACGAGTGACACTAAAATGGCAAAAAGGTCTCACTTTTACTTCCAGGAATTACCATAAATCTTTTGCAGAAGTTTTTCAATGAAATTAAATAAAATATTATACAAACTTAATCCATAGATGAATAATATTAGAACGTGCAACTAAGCGAGTGCGAAGTTCGATCAGTAACTGAAAACTTATCGGCACGCGAGCAGCACAAACCGATTGCTCTTAACAATATTATTAAATTGGCAAACTCGCTTATGACCACTTCTGACACAGGCGTTTTACACTTTTACGGAACATCCGCGTCCTAAAAACGGCTTTCCTTAAAGTTTGTCGCGCGAAGAAGAAAAAAAAAAAGAAGAAGAGCCGGTGCGAATGTGAAAGGCCAAATTTTGTGACGAAAACATGAAAATTTTATTTGGAGTAAATTTTTTAAATACGTTTATTTAAAAATCATTATTTAATAAATTCTTAGAGTATTTTTTAATTATTGAGCGACATCAACTGAAAACGTACGAAATATTTTAAAAACAATGTGAGTTATTTGTTAAACTTCTGTACACTTGACCATTTCTTTTTTTCACAATATCTAAACAATTTCTCTGGCCCTAATTGGTCTATATAGGTCTGTGCAACTTTTTTTGCATCATAATTATATTAAAACTATCTCAATACTATTTTAAATAATCAGTCAACGCTTATTTATAACATCTGGACAAATTATGCTTATACAAAAATTATTGATAGTTATCCAATTAAATTAATATTTAAAAAGTATTGATTAGTAAAAACCTCAGGTTCTTTAAAAATTTAGTTAAAACACTTGTCAAAGACTGATGAAATAAAATTAGCCTTCTTTGCGTTCTTTCAGTTTGCGAGTTAGCTTCATTGCTCCCCTCGCAATTTTTGTAAACCAGTACAAGTTGATTGAATCCAGTACAATGCAGGTAGAAATCCAGTAGAAACTAATAAGTGCTCCCAAGTCTTTCTGTTGTCGAGATCCCCAGACTGAATAACACTTGTAGTAGTATAGTGGCATGATTGCTATACGACACAGGAAAAATGATGCACCCATGATATACCCATTTACAACAAAGCCACGAGATAATCTGGAATAACCAATAGCATCAAAGAACCACCTAGAAGAAATAAGGCATGGTAATTAAATTTCTTTACATAATACAGTTGAACGTCTTGACAACGGCCACCTTGGGGACAGAACAAAGTGGCCATGGTAGAGAGGCAACCGTTGTAGAAGAGCTTTCATCAAGAGTCAATGTATGGATTGTCCCCCCAAAAAGTGGCCATTGTAGAGAGGTAGCCGTTAGTGGAAGTTTGACTGTATTTATACAGTCAACTGCCTTTATTGTGGACACTCAGGACAATGCGTTGGTGACCTCATTAGTCAGACTCTGTAATAGCAAGAGTAAAATTCAGTTTGCTGGGTTTTAGCTACTGTCCATATTGGGATGAAAAGCAGCATGTCGACAAGGCAAAGGTTGTCTGTATCATATGCAGATTTAGAGGGGGAGGAGTGGGTGAGGGCCACACCCCACTTTTGTGAAAAAAAAATGATTAATTTATTAATAAAAATTTTTTATTAGTTTTTATTAATTAATTATTATTTTAATTTATTTATTTTTTAATTTTTTTTTGTCTGGCATTTTTGTTTTCTTTTTAGAATTTTCTCTCAGACGTTTAGAGCCTTAATTTCTGGGCACAAATTCTCAGACCCAGAGTTTTGTAAGAACAAAATAGTTTCACCATGTACTTTAATTTAGCCTTTGAGATCACATGCCTTACAGCTTTTGTTCATATTTGGGCATTGGAAACAAAAGCTCGAAATTAAGGCATCTGCTCTTGCAGGCTACATGGAGGGGGGCACTATCTGTGCCCTATCGACCCCTCCCCACTAGATTTTCCAGATCTGCCCCTGATTATTAATAATAACTATGAGAAAGTCTCAGTTTACACATGAAAGAAATGATATCATCACAAGCACAACAGCCTTCATAGTCAATGGAATTGGTCATATTCATGATGTTCTGTTGTTATGTTGAGTTCTAATAAACAGGGATCAATTTTTTTTCAACGGTCTGAACACAATAGCTACACTTGTAAAAGTTTTATCAATTTGACCCCTGGTACTTGTTTTAGTCTATCACGGGCGGATCCAGGATTTTTTTTAGGAGGGGGTGCACTTGTCTCTTGCTCTACTTCAACACCAATAAACCCCCTTTTTTTTTTTTGCAGAATACCAGTTGTATTAGAAAACCGCAGTCTCATCTCGGGGGGGGGGAGGGTGCACACCCCCTGCACCCTCCCCCTAGATCTGCCCCTGTCTATGTACTATACAGCACTAACCTCTGATTAACAAACACCGTGGAAATCTCAGCAAGTTGTCGTACATTAGCAAAATAAGGCAGGGAACCATAAACCTGTCAAAACATGGAATAGATTAAACTGCTTGTGCATTGATGGTAAAACCCTTCAATTTTGTAAATGAATTTCAAGAAAAGACTATATTTAATTTTCAAAATAACCAGCCTGGGTATTAGTTCTGACTTTTGGAAAGTACCCTTAGTTTTGATATTGGCTCAGTTTTGACCCAAAAATGTGGGCGTCATCTCGGCATATACTGTAACTCCTTTACAGTACTCACCACAACAAAATAGTAGGCCCATATAGCCATCACATGATGTGTCACAGTGAACAAATCTCCAATATGCTTGTATGATAGCATTATAATCAGAAAGTCTGAAAAAAGATGAACATGAAATACTCAGTTTTTCTTATTGCAGAATAGACTAGCTTGTGCTACTTCATTAAGGCCTAAGAGGAGAGTCTGGGGAGCAAATGCAGCCCTTATAAATCTCTGGTAGTTACTTGTACCTGCTGAGATGTAGCCCATTGTGATTGCAATCCCTGTTCTCACAAATACAGCATCACTCCTAAAATATCATAGAGATATCTATTAGTATCAAACGTCTTACTAAAATATCACCTGTGAAGCAAAACGAGCAAATAAAGAAAAGGATTGACCGGTTTTTAAAATACTCACGCCACAGGATTTGAAGTTGTTTCTGCATCAAAGAAAAAACAATACAAACTGGTGATACTGACGATTATGGCATGCAGGTTTGAACCAATCCTGTAAGACATGAGAATTATTATTTTAATCAGTTTTTAGCCTAAAGGAAATTGGATTAGAAAGAAAAATTATTATTTGGATGCACAAGGGAGATCCAGACCTTAATGTAGATCTTGTTGAATTAGGAGGGGGAAGCTGCCGAGGGGGTGGGTGGCTGATCTTCGAATTATTGTTTTCCTGACCCTGTAGGCATTGTTTTGCAATAATTGACCAATTATTGCTCAAAAATAGGGTGGTTGCTAGGATCCTCCCCTAAAATCTAATCTGCCACTAGGATGGTGGGAAACAGATGGTGGGAGGGGATGTGGTAACTTGGTCGGATCTCTCTGCTCCTTGACATCACTTGCTATTGAAGGGATCAGAAATTTCCAGAGAATAGGCGAGAAATTGGAATTTGTTCTTATGCAGGACAGGGGTTAACACGTCGATCCTTCAGGAGACCCGGGGTAAGTCTTTAGGGTTTGGAGAAAAAAAGCCAGAAAACTATTGTCATGCCTCTTCTCCTGACACAACTGACTGACCCAACCGGGTCTCTGAGGATGGGATAAACAAGGGACATATTTTCATATGATTTTCACAGTTAACAAGCGAGCATGAAAAGAAACGATATGTGGTTTTAAATATTGTTGTGTCCTTTGTCTAGAAACTTCATTTTTCCTCTGTCAATCAGGACCAAAGTTTCCAGAGGGGTAGGAAGAACATGGATCATTGTTCTGAAGGGAGGGGAGGGGTCTTCAAGGAACTCCTCTCTGTGGATTTTTTCTGCAGCTGCAAATTTAATCGTGTTGATTAATTACCTGGTGTTCCAATCAATCCTCTTGGCTACAGAAAGCTTCTGGTAGCCCGAGGAAACTAGTGATGAGAATCTTGGACTTATAAAGTAGAACAGAAATAGGCAAGACAAAAAGCTAGCCACAGCTGTGGCTACATACAGGTTGCAGTCTTTTTGTTTCAGGAATAGCTCATCAATATCTGGAAGGAGAAAGAATCACCCTTAGTTTTCTTTACTACTCACCTATTATTAGAAAAGTGTCCTAAATTAGGTATTTTGAAAAAAAAAAAGAGACAACATATTGCCAGAAGGTTTTATAGGCCGAAGAGACCAGAAATTCATAAACACAATCCTCCCCCCTCCCCCACCTCCTGACCCATACCCCCTCCCCGCCAAGTTTTTTTGGCCAGTTTAATAGAACAAATTAAGGTTTTAATCCATGCAGCCCTATCCAAATACATTGCTTCCGAGATTATAAATATTCTCAGCCGAGAAAAAGGCCAACACATATGAGATAATCTAATATATCAGGAAGCCTCCTCATGTTGAAACTTACACGCGCGTGTGACGCAAAACAACAATTTTCGCGGCCGATTTTTATTATTCAAACTACTTACCAGATTCACTCATCTTTGTAAAATTCCACTTGCGCACCTATTTACCGTCAAGACAGTTGGAATGTAAGTTCTTTCAAGTCAAAACAAAGGTAACTCCAAGAACAATACAGTAAAGATTCACATATGCTGTCACCTGTCACGCCAGGTAATAATTGAGCCGTCACGTCCATGATCCAGTTGTAAAGTCACAAAATTTGTGCGTGCGCTTATGTTAAAAAAAGGTTGCGCTGATCACGCTATCAAGGCTGTGTTCTCTTCTATTTTTGTGAACATCATGGATATTTGTACCGCGATTTTCTCTGTCTTTGCAGTTGTTCTTTTGTTAGCACTTGTAGTTATTGTACGAAGTGTGTATGTTTTGAAGAGAAGAGGAAATAATGTGGCATTGGACAAGAGAAAATCCGTGAAGGTGATGGTTGTCGCAGGCTCAGGTTCGTCCTCTCGATCTAATATTAAAAATTCTTCGATTTGGATAGCGAAACAGACACGTTTGTGAAGTAAGCAACGAAAATGCCTGTTGTCTTTGTCGTGACTGAAACAGTAAGCAAAGGCCAGTGAAGGCTTGTAATAATCAACAGCTCGATGTTGTTTGCGGGGAGTGTGGGTGGGTGGGGGAGGGGTTGGGTGTAGGGTGGGAGAGTGGTAGTGGTAATGAAGTTGTGTAACTTACTTGTTCTCAGACAACAATACACTGAATTTCATATTCCCTGCCTGTTCTGTCTCTAAAATGGCATTTTCTTTTTTCTTATTGTTTTAGAGATAGGCTCTCAGTCATTTTTATTATTGGCTAGCAAGTTTTAGGTCTGAGCATCCAAAGAGCACCATTTTCAGATTATAACAGGCTAAGAACGTACCAACAGGGCTGCTAAAAGGATTTTCCCCTACCCCTCTCTATCACTCCCCCCTCCTTCCTCCAGTTGGAGAAATCATGACCCCCCCCACTTCCTCATCTGAATGATCCGAGTTAGAAATATAATTGTGGGCTTTATTGGATTCAGTGAAACACCTACTATACTTGTGTGAATTAGGAATGGACCATTAGAAAAGTTATGGGGGGGCGGGGGGATTTTCGAGCTGCAGGAATTTTTTTTCGTTATCAAATTCCTTGTATGAATTTTTTTTGGCTATAGCATGAATATTTTTCAGGGTTAATTGGCATGCATGAATTTTTTTAAATTCAATTTTCCCTTGTGCGAATATTTTTTTTGTACTTCGCCTGCCCTGCCCCCCATAAGTTTTCTAATGGTCTGTCCCTTAAACAATACTGATGTGATGTGTTTTTAATAATTATATTTTGTTTTCTTAAAGGAGGACACACAACTGAAATGATGAGACTTCTTGGGTCACTTTCTTCTTATTACCAGCCCCGCATCTATATTGTCGCTGAAACTGATAAAATGAGTGTTGAAAAAATTACCACTTTTGAACAGGAGAAAACAAACAGAGGAGGTTCTGAGGTAGATATTAATAAATCATTGTAAGAAAGTAAGGTATTGATTAGCATTTCCTTATGTAACTTGAAAAAGACAACAATTTATTTTGATTACTTTACCTCTGAAATGATCCCTTTCTTCTGAAGTACCCCATGAGGAGATAAACCACATCCCACCTGGGTCTGCATCCCGATTTAATAGATGAGTGAAGTCATGACCGAATTAACACCCCTGACTGGAACTCATTGCTGCCCTTCTCAGGGATAGTAATCAGTGTAAAAAATATTGGAAACTGTCCCCTACCCTTACCACTAGGTCTAGATGTTTTACTGTTTATAAATACTGCAGTCTTACTCTCATGTCTTACTTGAGATACCCATTAGCACTTAGACAGGGTGCAACTGAACTGAGAAATGAGAAATGCTGCTTTTTGATGTCAAGCGTTTTTTCAGTTGCATTGCAATACTCAGTGATACTGAGTTGTCAAAGTGATAAAAAATTAATAATATAAAAAGTTTATGCAATGTATATGTTATGATTCATAGTAAAAATTTTGAAAATCAATTGGTGCCCTTTCTTTTTCAGTTTAAAATTCTTAGAATTCCTCGCAGCAGAGAAGTGCGTCAATCATGGCTTTCAACAATCTTTACAACATTGAATGCAATTATCTTTTCTTTTCCTGTTGTATTTTGGGAGAAACCAGATTTGGTAAGAAACTGATCCTACTGATGAAAGAAGATCATTGTTGGAGCATAAAAAGCTACACAACCATGCTTTAACTCTGCTTTTTAAATTTCTCTCCAGCTTCTTTGTAATGGTCCTGGCACATGCATTCCAATATTTTTAGCAGCTTTTGCCCTGAAGGTAAGATAAGTTTATTATTATTATTATTATTATTATTATTATTATTATTATTATTATTATTTGTATATATACATAAAAAAAAAAAAATTAGTAAAACCACAGCTTTTAAACCAACCACATCATCATAATGATAAAGTTTATACCAGTGGTAGGTTGGCAGCTTAAGCATGCTGCAGTTTTTTCCCATTTTTAATTTTTTTGTTCCATTTTTCCATTTTACTGTAAATGGTATACTTAAGCCACTCCTTATGGCAGCTAGTTTATGCTATGCACTTTTCTCAACAATTTTATGGAGCTTGATGATGAGCATGTATTGTGTCTTTGGTTAGCTTTGGTTTATTTTTCCTTGTGCTACAGAAACATTTGAAGTGGTGGCTTAACTCTTGAAGTCCCAATAACTACATACAAATTCTCCAGACTAATATCCATACATTTCGTCAAAGAATAACTTGAAAGAATTTGATCAAAGACCAATGCATTTTCCCTTTGGTGATCATTATTGTAACCTGTTTTTTTCAATTACATTGGTATTTTAAATGAAGATGTGATTCATCACAGTGGTAATTGCAATTTAAGCAACCACAAATAAACCCTAAAAAAATTGGGTCTTCAAAACTTCAACCATAGGTTCGAATCCTGTTGAAGTCCTGAAATTTTTTCAGGTTTATTTGCAAAATTGCTTCAATTGCCATTACCACTGCGATGATCACATCTTCATTTAAAATATCAATGTAATTGAAGAAAATAGGTTGTAACAATAAATATATAAAAAATAAAAATTACCACTGCAATGATCATATCTTCATTTAAAATTTGTATTTCCGCAGTTCACATTATCTTCATTTTACATTGGTGTTGGAAGGAGGAATATTGATGTTGGCCTCTTTTGGAACTTAAAGGCTTAAATTCTGAATCCGTAATAGGTGTACCCCTTTTGGACATAACCTCCCCAAATTAGGCGATAATAAGTAGTTCGCCCCCACATCATGGGAGGGGGGTGGGGTAAAGAGTAAGACACCTTGTAGAACAACATGTGTTAACTAATATTATCATATTCTCTTCTTCAGGTCACTGGTGTAAGGGATGTAATCATAGTATTTGTGGAAAGTATTTGCCGAGTAAAGACATTATCATTATCAGGGAAAATTATGTATCACTTTGCTGATCACTTTTTAGTTCAATGGAAACAGCTTCAAGTGAATTTCCCAAAGGCGAGATACCTTGGAAGACTTGTGTGATTAGATTTTTGACTATTTAAGGATTTTTAAATAAAATACTCATTCCTGTGCAATGGAGTAGTCATTAGTATAACCCCCCCCCCTTCCACTGGGCTTTTCTGCTGTGCCTTGCTTCCATCAAAAACTTGAGAACTGGCATCTGCATTCAACCACTGATGACCATGCATGTGTCCCAGAATTATTTTGCATCCTTGTTAACTTAGTTTCTCCATTGTAAAATGAACACTTTTCTAAACAAACGTATGGGCTTTTTACTCAGTGAATCTCTTTGGCAGGCATCTCTGTAAGATGGACTTAAAGTGCAAAAAGACATTTGTGCTTGTCATTGCGAAGGGAGCTGGTTGTGCTTTAGTGCAAGGCACCTACTTTGTCTAGATTTTAACCTAAAAACAATAATATGCATTTTAGTAGAAAAAGAAATCGCCAGTTAACTAGATTGATTGTTTCTAGAGTAATGCCCAATGAAGGAAATTGTGTTTCAGAGCTTCCAGGGGATGTCCCAAGATCCCCCTCCCTCGCAGCTTGTGCCCCAGGGGCAGATTTTACCTTGCGTATGATAAAAATATGGCTATGGCCATGGTCCTGGCTGACCATGTGAGTGCATGAAACCATCAATTTTTTGTGGCCAAGGAGTAAACTGATAAGCAAAATTATAGAAGACAGTAAATGCTTTGATTGAACAAACAGGATTATTTGTTTTGCTTTTATTTGGTGAACTTTAACCCTTCTAAGGGTTAATTATTAACCCTTTCACCACCAGAGGGCTTGATGGAGCTTTGTAAGGTGACTCTAACTTTTGAGTCTGTGGACAAAATCCTATGATTTCACCATTCAAATGAAAGTTCTCTGCCTGTACTTACACATAGCTCTATTTGTTTTTCAAAATTTCACAGACTGAAATTTGAAAATTTGGTCAAAATTTGCTTTTGGCTAAATTTGGCAGTGAAAGGGTGAAGATAAGATTGCTCCCATGTAGTCAGTGGAGAGAACTGTGCCTCCCATTTATCAAAATTCTTTTGAGGAAAACTCAGTGGGTCCAAATAATGTTATTGTGATCTCTGGATATTAATTCCTACTGTTTTTTATTAGACCAGTGTGGAAATGAGCATTAGTACACAGGCTACCCAAGGACAATTTCCTGGGAAGTCTGTGACACTGATAGTCATGTCAACTCTTCATATTTTTACAGTCTTTTCTTTTGTTATTTTAGAAACTGGTAAACATTTACACTTAATGATACAAATTAAATGACTGAAACAAATTAAAGAAAAAAAGGTTGTTATCTTTTTAGGAAAGATGCGACTTTCTGTTCCTTAGGTATTGAGTTTACTAAAAGTTCTGCAAGTGTTTCAGACTACTTCTAGTTTGGTCCAGAAAATAGCCATACACACCAGAATTGATTTTGTATTGAGGCATGGCCCCAAAATACAGTTAGGTTTTGCAAATCTTTCCTATCTTTAAATTAATGACAACTGGAGGAGATAATTGACATGATTAAAAAAGCAAGCAGAATTTGGGTGTTTAGCTCTCCCTAAAGAATCAAAGGCATGTGACCTTCCTGTACTGCTCGCAGGGTCCTCCATCCTAACAACCCAACTTGTCCTTAAGTAAAGGTTTGTCTGCAAAACTAGAGTCAACCAACGCATTTGCTCTTAGGACTCTTCTTAACTACTCCAAATCGACTGCTTACGAAGAGCTACTTAAAATTGTACATATCAAAAGCTTGGAACATCGACGCATAGAACAAGCACTGATACTTGTATACAATAGCATTTATAACCAGGCACCGAACTACATTCGGGAAATGTTTTTACTGCGAAGCAATGGTTACAGCCTATGGGGCCATCTTTATAAGGTTGTTCTTCCAAGATCGACCTCATCTTATATGCAACATTCTTTCACGTACCAGGCTGGTAAACAATGGAACAGTCTACCAGACAAAATAAGGATGTCGGAGGCCCTCTCTATCTTTAGGAAAAACTTACAAAACATACAGTTGTCTTCATCGTATGACTACAACTGTGAATTTTGTAAATAGACAATCTGATTACCAATATTTTCTCTTTTTAAATTATTATTATTTTTTAGTTGGTTTAATTTTTCTATTTCTTATTTTTATTCATTACTTGTACATGTAGATTATGTAAATCATCACGTTGTAATTTTTATGGCACATTTGCATTTAAACGAGCTATCGCTCATATGCGATACGGGTTAAATAAAATTACTTACTTACTTACTTACATCCCAACTTGTCCCCCCACCCATTAAGTAGATTTGATACTCTCCCCACATTGAACTTTTATTTGAAACCAATATGGGTGCTCGTGAATTTCTCGATGTCGACGATTGTATAGAAAACAGAGGACTATAAAACAGTCTATGTAAAGCTAGATTTTCTAGAGAGATACCGGTACGTAATAAGGAGCTTTTTGTTTTTGTTGGAGCTCGTGACAATTAACCGGAAGTCTTTTGTTCTTGTGAAAATATTCGAGGAGGCCGCCACTACCAAATATGGATTGTAAATCGATGACGTCGTCTCTATCTCACGAAAGCCTTCCGCTCTCTCGATGATCAAAAGTGCTGTTTCATCAGCAATTTTCTTATTTTCGTTTAGTTAGGGAAAGAAATACGGCGTTTGTAGGTGAGTAGTTTTTTAAGGTTGTTAATATGTAAATTTATCCGTGTGGGTCGAGCATATGTTTACATCTTATCCGGATCTCGTCAGCTGGGTTCGCTGTAAAAGTAGCTATCGTTCAATCAAGGCACTGGAAATTATACAAGGTCTTGTTTTGATTTGAAAGTCATCTCGGCAAACAATGTCTAAGCGCTTCTATTTTTTATTAGATCCAAGTAAAGGGACAATATTTAAAATACCTTTTCGTTTTAAGGAAATTTCCCGTTAAAATTCCTAAATCTTATGCCTCAAGATCCATGCAAGTTCGAACTTGTAATGTTTACTGTCTGTCTCGCACATGAGAATTGTTATAAGCCTGATAAATGATCAAAGTTAGTGAATAGTGGGTGAGAAAATGTATTTTTCGTTTGAAATCAATGCCGAAATTTTGGATCTATAAAAAACGAGAACTTAAGGTGGTGTTGTACCCGCTGTTGGTGGTCGAGTAACTCCATAAGCAAATGTAAATTTCTTGACACCATTCTATTCCAATACATTTTTAAAGCCTCTGCCTCGGTTTAATAATTTAACGGGAAAATTTATTTAATCAGGAGTGTCTTATAACAAATCACATTTTCTATGTAGCGTTGAGTCGGCTGTCTTAAACTGAAAAGTGATTTTCTTTTATCGATCTTCAACAAGTTGTTCCTTAAAAATATTCCTCAATGGAATCCACATGATCAACTTTTTGGTGAATAATTTATGAGCCTAATAAACCTAATATTTCCTGTCAGTAGAGGATTCTAACCGAAACTGGTAAGTCTTTTGTCAAAAAGTAGCGAAATTGAATGATATGTATAAAATAATTGTCTTAACTTGTTGTTAACAAGAAAGTACGAACTATCCCGCCCACAAGTGTCAATATGCGATTTTGCGGTTAAACGAATGATGATAAAATTTTATTACTATTATGACATATACTTTTGTTCTTGTACCATTCATCTAAAAAATATGTGGATGCTGAAAACTGTCACATTTGAAGTTGAAAGGTGTGAATAAGTACTTAAAGATACTTTTATTACAGGCTTAGACTTGATCAAAAGTAAAGTGAAGTGCAAATATTATCTTCATTGGATTATTCTGATTCTTATTTTTTTTTACTATTACATTATTAATGCATTTTGGATTTCAAAAGAAAAAGTAATTAGGTTTTTCAGGCCGAACTCAAAAACAAGGAGAATGCACCGAATGAAAGGTTAGGAATTTGTTAAGGAGCTTTTCCTGTATATTGCTTTCAATACAAAACGATATATCTTTTAAGTATCTATTTTATTCCAACCAACAAGGAATGTTGTGATATTGCTTGGAGGGTCTGTTTTAAACAATGCCTTCTACAAATAATATTATGGGAAAATGTATTTTGTTCTGTGAAAGCCCCATTACTTGTATTAGTAGTGATAGTGCAGGAAGTGAGTTCGTTGGCGAAGAGTTTTAAGATTTTTTTCCGTGTTGTGTGCGTTTGCTCTTATACTTTTTGAGATTATATTGGCTGCCTCAGCAAACACGTTGTAAATTAGAAATTTTGTAGATTTTGATTGTTTTTAGCACCCTCAAAAGTACTTCATAGTTGAAAACGATGATTCATTTGAATGCTTTCTGTAAACAACATCCTTTTGCAACAAATATTATTTTGATCACGTTTTCATCCTTGTCCTTTACAAGTTTGATTTACAGCGCTGTGTAGATGACAGATAATATTTAAAATAGCTCTTAGATTTATGCAAGTGGCAACAAAATTAAAACAAGAAAAAATAAAACAAGCATGCAAAAAATCCTCTTGGACTTCACTATACAGACTGACTGAAGAATAAAACTCCACTACAATGTAACTGGATATCACCAATGTGGACAAGAAGACAAATCAGTGCTTGCCAATCAACATTGTTGTGCCTGGAGATGATAACCTCGCCAAGAAAGAATTTGGAAAGATAAACAACTATGCTGACGTCAGATTGGAAGGAGAAAGGATATAAAAAACACAACTGCATTGATCCCTGTAGTGATTTATTGCACACATAAGAGAACTGGATGATTAATTAACATTACTCCCAAATCTCCCTACTTTCTTGATGAATTAGGATCCAAGACAGTATACAACTGGGTTATTTTAGGAATCAGTCAGCAGGGTTTTTGTCCAATACTGCAACACTGTGACGTCACAGTAAAGAATAGCTTATTTTTGTTTCCTTCTTTCAGATTCTCGACCTCCTCAAAGGGGCTCTCCAATGGCATCCCCTCTCAGGAACTCTCCAGTTTCCTTTTCACACAGTACTGACGCAGACAGTGGCAGCAACTCAAATCTGCAGTATCACTTCACTGACATAGCACATAGCAAAGACCTTGTGAATGCTCTCAAATTTTTGCGTCAAGATGAGGACTTGTGTGATATTGTTCTTAGGGTTGGTGGTACCAATATTTCAGCACACAAAGTTGTGTTATCTGCAAGTAGCCCATACTTTAAAGCAATGTTTACTGGTAAGTTGCCTGTTATTTCAGTTGCAACACTATTAGAGGATTAATAAGAGAAAAAGAGACCCTTTCCCACCCCTCTCCCCCACAAATTCCTTAAATCCTACCTATACCCCTGCACAGTACCAAATGGTGTGGGTAGGGGTAAAACTACCACCTGGTTAGTTCAGTTGGGAGAGTGCCGCTCTGCTGAGAAGGGGGTCGTGGGTTTGAACCCCAGCCGTACTAACACTCAGGGTCTTTAATTGACTGAGAAGAAAGTGATGCCTTTGTGATGACATCTGCAAATGGTTAGACTTTCTTACTAGTCTTCTTGGATAAGGATGAAAAACCATAGGTCGCATCTCACAGCACTAACCCCTTGTAAACACTTGTAAACACTTATCTGTTTTTTTGGGATGTAAAAAACTCAAACCATTGTTTGAAAAGAGTAGGGGATGTAGACCGCGGTGGTGTGGTCAACCTCACACATCATTCACATCATGGGTTGGATGAGCACATTAACCTCATAATAGTGGCTGCCAGTGGCGCCTTTGTATGCTGACGTCAGAGCTTACTGTTAACATGTTAATATATATTGTAAAGAGGGCACGTCTGTTGTCTCTCATCCATGACTCCTTCCTTCCTTCCTTCTTTTGGGGATGAGTGAACATTTTATGAAACAGTTCATTGAACAGAAGTTGCTTTCTTCTGTTTGTTACATGTATATCACTCTAAAGCGAAATCAGGAATTGTTTGCAGACGTAGTGAACCCTAAAGATCACATTCCACCATAGACAATCACCCTCTGACAATGTCAGTTTAGGTAACATAGGAAATACTTTACTACAGTTTTAATTTTGGAGGCTTGCTGTTATGGTGTGATCATTCAATAATACCCTATCAGCAGCATTGTATCAAAGGAGTTCAACTTTTTTTGGCTGTTTAAAGTTTATTAGAATTAAGTGGGTTAAGTCAGGAATCAGTGTACTTTTAGTTTTGTATTGTGTTTGTAAGCGATCATGCAGCATTGACTAATAAAATAAAATCTCTTGTCAATTTTCAGGGGGCCTATCAGAGAGTCGACAAAACACAGTGACACTTCAGGAACTTGATGAGCATGCAATGGAGACCATTGTGGACTTCTTTTATAGTGGTGAAATGGAGATATCAGAGGATAATGTTCAAGAGCTGTTACCTGTAGCTTGTCTGCTTCAAGTGCAATCTGTTCAGCAAGCTTGCTGCGAGTTTCTTAAAAGGCAACTTAGTTCAGAGAATTGTCTTGGTAAGTTGAGTACAATACAAACCTCTAATAAGTGGACACACTAAACCCAACACGATTCTACCAAAGGAAGGATCAAAATTGCAGTGTGGACCATGACTAAGTAACCTCTTGTATGAGGTATCCATTAAGCCTGTGACATATATATGGTTTAACTTTTGTTGATCAACAAATACATGTATTGCCGCCCTGGCTATTCAACAAGTTAGAGCTTGTTGAATTGAATTCACCCATCTCTATTTTTGTTGAACACTGGTTAATAAAGTTTAACATGTTAATTAAATGAGCTAATTCAATAGTCAACATAATATGATACACTTTGCAGCGATGATTTGTTGTTGTTCAATTTTGAGTCGCTGGCTTTAGTGGTGGCTTGACTTTAGATTGACTAGCATTTTTCTGGAAGCCAGAGTGCAAAATTGAATACGTGTACAGTACACTTTTGACCTTGCTGTCCCCGTGAGTAGTATGCAGGAAGTGTGTGTACTCTCCTATGAACTCAGCAAAATTTAACGGCCTTGCCCTCTACAAGTCTGTCTGAGCTCAGCTGACAGAGCACTGGCCGAGTGTTAAGGGAAAGCCCAGGTTTTAAATCCTGTCAGTGGTCAAGAGTTTTTTTTTCTTTTACCCAAGCTCATAACATGATCTTCAAGTTGAACCTTTATCAAGCATTCATCCTTGGGGAAGGGACAAATGTCCACTTAACCCTTTAAACGCGAAGAGTGATCAGCATGAAATTTCTCCTTATAATATCAATACTGTAGAAATTAGAGTGGTCATGAGAATTGAGTGCATGATCAGGGAATATGGGTCTAATTGATATTTTCACAAATTCTCCCCACTACCTCTGTTGAAAAAGTATAGGAACAGTAAATGAGAATCTCAATTTTTAATATTAGGGTTTTAAAGGGTTAATAACCGTTCTGTTTACAGTGATAAACTGATAATTTTTGTCCACTGGGAGTTGGGAACTGGTCACTGAATCGAGGGCAGCCCCCGGGGGGTACTGCCATATATGGGCTATATAGGTATGTGCCGCTGTGAAGGGTATGGTTTTCAAGCAGTTTACTCTAAGATAGGGTATATAAATCAGAGCGTTTGGGTCTAGAATAGGGTATCATTTTTCAGGAAACTGATCAATTGGTTGAAGATTTTATCTAGACTAGGGAAGCAGCTACTCTAGGATAGGGGGATTTGGGGAGTTTACTCTAGTATAGGGTAGCAAAATTTAGCTGCACTAGCTCTGGTATAGGTTAAGGGTTCCAGGGTCCCAGCGGCACATCCCCTCCCAGAAATTCCTAATTCCTAGAAGGCCATCTATTAGAGTTTCAATGCTATAAAAATCTTCACAAAAAATGCCAAAAATTTTTAGCGAGATCATCACTGTAATTAAGGTTTTGAATATATTGGTGTAAATTACAATTTATTAGATGGTCTTTATCAATTTTTCCTTCTCTTATCATATTTTTTTTGCAGGAATTGTTGCCTTTGCTGATCGACACAACTGCACGGAGTTAGTGACGGAGTCAGAGTCCTTTGCAAGGCAACATTTTATCGACGTTGTCCAGAATGAAGAATTCATGGACATATCAGCCAAGCAGTTGTCACGGCTTCTAGCTAATGATGATCTTAATATTCTGTCTGAAGAGCGTGTCTTCGAAGCAGCTTTGGCTTGGATTAAATACGATCCTGACGTTAGAAAGGTACGTTCACATAAGGACCAACATCCGATTTCTCCTTATGTGTGTCACACTTAATCTAAAGCAAAAGCAATGAGAATTCAGGAAATGATAAGATAGTCTTGGATTCTCGATATGAAATTAGATTGTTTTGTTTTACGATTTATATTACTACATGAGAAATTTCTGCGATTTGATTGGCTCAGAGCAGTGGTATTTCAGTTTAATTTGAAATACCTACTCGTAAAAAATTACAAACCATTTGTGGGTAGTAGTATAAACAAATAATAGCATGATTTGTACGTGATATTTGGCATAAATACCACTTGTGATAGTTCAAAATTGTCTCAAATTTCACTCGCCTACTGGCTCGTGAAATTACGTGACAACACCTCTGAAATATCACTCTTGTAGATGGCGCTAAAATATCATCATCAATCACAAGTAGTTACCCAAGTACTAATAATATATGAACACAAGTTTGTTAACATATTTTTCGCGCACACTGAAACGCATCTAGTTGTCGCATCCATCAGCCAACAGTATTTTCGTACTATTTAAATAAAATATTAAAATATCAAAACACATGTCTGGAAATATGCCGTAATACAGACTTTTGATTGTTTCTAATTTTTTCGTTGTTGTTTGTTTTTACTGGCGAAGCCGTGTATTGAGCACAGAAGTTTTGCTATTAAAACCTGTTTTAGCTGTTCAGCAGTAAAGAGCTGTAGACCTTCATGATTATCAAAAGAACCATTTTCGAGAGTATTTTCGATAACCTCTGTTTTTTAAGGCTTTAATCTGGACGCAATTTCAAAACGCATTAAAATTAGTGTACGTAGGATCCATGTACGTTTTTACCGTTCTACACTTGTATTAGGCGGTCTGATTTGACTGTTGGTACGTTATTTGTTTTCAGGAGTCCGCACGGCACCCGGGCAACGTCAGATTTCCTCTCACTGCCAGAATTCGGTATTCGATAGAGCGCCGCAACCAGCACCATCAGAAGCTACCAGGGCTGGCAAAAGTCAGTGAGAGCTTTTGGTCTCGCTTAAAAATGAGGTTGCAACTGATCAGCAATCCCAACGGTAGCTGGTACATGCAGGGATGCTTGCCTTTGTAGTGGGAAAAGAACTTGCTTTGGTAGCTTTCGAGCTAGTTCATGACACCCCGCCGCTTGGAATTATTGTGAAACAAACGGCGAAAATTGTTATTACCGGATGAAAACCAACCGCGAATGTAGCCAGTTATTTACAAGCGTACATCGAGCGTCAACAACAACCAGCCAGTTGTTTATGGACGGACCTCGAACCCCGAGTTTGACGTTTGACTGTTCGGCTACGCTACCTCTCTGTACGTAATTATGATAATTACGAATTTGTTTTTGCATTTCATTCAACAGCGATCTGTTATTTGAGGCCGCCGAATGTCTTCTTCTCCCAAAACGCCGATCTCAGATTCGCAATCAGAGGGTTTCACCCAGGAGACCCACAACTGTGAATCACGTGATGTATGCCATCGGTGGAATGAGCCGTAGAGAAGCCAGCAAAAGCGGAGAAAAATATGATCCGCGTGAGAGAAAATGGAAGACTATCGGTAAGATCACTTGATTAAACTCAGAGTAAACGTAGTCTTCATTTGCTCAGGAATAATGAAGGGTGTCGCGAACATCTGGACTGTAAGAAGTCTCGTGCATTCCGTTTGTATCAGAGATTAAGCGATTCACGCCAGCGCGCGGAAAATGGCTTCTATTGATAATAGTGAGTTTACGCAACATGACGGCAGGATGAAGAGGACGGCAAAACACCCGTGTGTGACCAACATGACAGGGCTATTACTTGCGTGTTTTGTCGTTTTGTCTTCATTTAACACCAATGTTTTATGCAGTTATGCAGTTAAGGTAACCTTAAGTGTACTTGTATGTCCCTCTACTTTAGGCGACATGAACATTTGCCGCTGGGGTGCCGCAGTTGGTGCTTTAGGTCCTTTTCTTTACATCTGCGGTGGCAGTGATGACGCGTCTCGACTGGAAACCGTGGAACGATTTGATCCGTTCACAAACGTGTGGGTGCCGTCTGTTCCAATGTCGTCAAGTCGCAATGGTGTTGGTGTCACAGCGGGGAATGGCAGGATATATGCAATAGGTACGGAATGTGTATTGCTCAACAGTTGTGAAATTGTACATTTTTGTTGGTTAAGTTAAAGGCATTCAATATTTCACAGAAGAACTGAGCAAAGTATTTTTTGGTCACGCAGCACAGCTTTATTTTGTTGATTTTTTTCTTCTTTTGTCCGATCGTTGATCGTTGTGCTGAGTTTCTGAACGCATTCTTCCCAGGTGTAGATCCAGGCAGGGGGAGGGGAGGGTGGCCTTCTTTGGGGGAACCAATCAGAACTCAGAGCAGGTGAAGCTGGTGGTAAGCGCGGGAACTCGCGTTCGACCAAGTCACGACTGATTTTGATGTTACGTCTGATTGGTTGAAAAAGTGGCGCGAGATTGTTTCAGCCAATCACAAGGCGCAGCTCATTATTAAAATTACTTTCGACATTTAATTGAAATCTAGTTTATTTCTTGAATGTTGCAGGTGGTTTTGACGGTTCGATGCCATTAAATACGGCTGAGTACTATGACCCTAAGGTTGGCAAATGGACGGAGATTGCTCGAATGAATCAATGTCGGTTTGGCGTGGGTTGTGCTGTACTAAATGACATGGTGTACGCTGTTGGAGGCTCCGATGGAACTAACCTTAAGACTGTGGAACGATACGATCCTGACACAAACACTTGGAAGATGGTTGCTTCTATGAGCACGGCAAGGTTTGTTCTCAAACTCATTAATAATTGAAGTGTCTGGGTTATTTGATGAACAATTTCTCGTTTTTGTATGGCAGAGGTTATTTTTTTCTGGGGGAAGTTACACCACAATCTTGAAAGGGTGTTTCATACAATATCAAACACCTTGAATTTTGTCGAAACATTCTCTACAACGCGTTGTGTATATATACGTGATGAAACACCGTGTCTTATGTTGTTTGCAATAATTTCGAATTGACTTATGGCCGTGCGATACATTAATTCCCAACGTTGAAGACTCGGCATAGTTTTTTCAAATCGTTGAGCCTCATACTTCATTACAGTATCGAATCTATTGCTGAGTAGATACATAGCTACAGTTGTATTAAGAGCTCCTTTCCAGATATAGAAATTAGAGACACGTCTGAAGCTTTATCGGTAATAGAGAAATTTGCCATCACGTTCACGCCTAACGGTCAACTGTTCATCTACAATTACTCATTTTCCTCAAAACCCATTGTTTTCTCTCTGCATGACATACTCATATGCTGAGAGCAAAATTATGTAAATCAGTCAAGTATGTCAGAAAACTGTAATGGCGGTGTTTCTGAATAGCAAGAAGACTACTGCCAGCATAATAATTAAAATAAATATTCTGCAAATACAATGTCTTAACTTAGAGTTGACAAACAACAACAAAAAAAGTTTTTACCTTACACTGACGCTAGATTTTTCAAGAGGTATTCCGTTCCAGCGTTTTCTTTTGTTAGTGTTTTCATTAATATTTTCTGAACAAACACAAAATGCACGCGGTTACATACGAGTGGTCAGAAAGTTTTACTCGAGGAGAATATGAGTTTAAACAATTCAAAGCCAGTTCAAACTTGTTACCTTCACTTAGTTTCCTGACCATCTTCCTAGTAGCTGCTACAAAATAACGTCTGTGCAAAATGAACATGGCTTCATACTCTGAACTGCTTTCTCCCAGTTTGGTACAAAGTCTCAATCGCAGTGAACTCATTCTGCACAAACTACTCGGACGTTATCATACATTATGTAAATTTCTTGCTTGTGAAAAGACTTTCGCATCGTAACTTCATCCCTAGGCTCTCTCCTCCCTTTCCTCGGAGCAAGAGAAGTAGAAAAAAAGATACTGGTTTGGGAGCGAGTTTGTTCGTTTTCAAATGATTAACCAAACACCCAACTCACTTAGTATATTCAACGGCATGAAACCGACCTTGATTCTGCGATTGCTTATTTCGGACAACAACGTCAGTAAAAGACTAGCAAATAACACGCGAATGTTTTCCTCTGCTCTTTATTTGCTTCACTCTCCACGATCTAAACGCCCGCAACAGGCTAAAACATCACGATCTGCATCTTAAACAAGTAACATAACAATTATATTCCCTTACAGGAAGCAAGTGGGCGTGGCCACGTTAGGGGGCTTTCTCTACGCCATTGGGGGGTGCGACCATGGGCATCGCTACGATAGCGTGGAACGGTACGACCCAGGAAAGGACCAGTGGGTAGTTGTAGCACCTATGAGTACCCCTCGAAGTGGGTGTGGTGTTGGAGTGTTAGATGGTTTTATTTACGTGGTAGGAGGATACGATGGGACGTCGTATTTGAGCTCAGTTGAAAGGTAAGCTGTAGTTGATCTAGAAGCGAGTTGAAGTTTTTTTTTGGTCATTTGAACAGTGTTCGTTGATTAATTTATAGTAAGCAAATGAGTTTCCTTGTTCCCTTGTACTGGTTTCTGAAAAGTTTGTTAACATACGAAGTACTGCATTCATATGCTATTTGTAACATGGTAAGCATTCATAACGAAAAGTGTAAGCGGACGTAAAGGAAAGGACAGTCCTATTGCACGCTTTTTTACAGCTTTCTCAGCATTCTACATCGGTGGATAAGTTGGTAAATCAAATTTCGTGTTTCATTCTCCAATCGAAGCCCCTTCACCAGAATCCTTCAGTTCGTTGTTTTATTAAGGCTATTGTTTTAAAACCCAGCGAAATTGACAAATTTAAATAACAAAGCAAAAACGAAATGAATTCTGGTAGTTGCAGTCAAATGTCGTCCTAGTGAAAATGGCCTGTTTGGGTTTTCTTGTCTAGGTACGACCCACTGTCTAACGAGTGGCATCAAGCACCCCCTCTTAGCCAGCCGAGGGATTGTGTAGCAGTTTGCGTGGCCAGTTGTAAAAGATCGTTTAACAAACGACTCCTGGACCCCTCATCAGGCAGAACACCGGCTGTTTAGAGAAATTACTGCTGAAAGGATCAAGGCATTGATCGTAAGGACGAGATGAAAGAAATTTCCACGGACGTGTATGAAGTGAGGATAAGAGTTATTTGCACAAGAGTGAAGCAGGAAGGAAAAGATCTTACAAAAACAGATGGTGGCGAATAGTAACACTGTGGCGTGAGGTGCAAGGTAACAGGTTTAGACTACAACTGCGCGGAAATTTACAATTGAAAGAAAGAAACCCTATTTAAGGTCCGGTGTAAGCGCTGGCATGACGCTGAAACCACGTGATCAAATGCATGTGATCAGATAACCATGGCCGGGAGCGAAGCAGTGTCACGTGATTGACATTGGCACGTGTGACGTGCGTGTGTAAAAAGAAAAGTTTGTTCAAAACATAACTTCTTTTAGGTTGTTTTCGTTAGGTAGGGAGTAACGGAAAAAAAACACCGTTGAGTGATTTAAAAATGCTAAAGAGGATTTATGAACTAGGAGCGTCACTGATGAAATATAAAGAAGTTTCAAGTAATTCACAATAATAGAAAACGAAAGTACTGAGATGAAGTACTGTACTTGAACTACATTGTTTAGTAGAATATTTAAGTTGTATTAAATCCAGATACACGAATTAAAACCGGATAAATATTATTTAATTATAGTAGAGATCATAAAAAACACTATTATTGTAAATATCGAATTCAAGACATTGTTAAGCAGACAACTGATCCTAAAACTTATGAGATACCTCTTTATCTCCTGCTACTCCTGGGTTTTGTCAGTAAAATAAAGGGGGAATTGGGTGTTCCTTCCATCCCCCAGGTCTTCTCCCCCCCCCCTCCCCGTAACCCTTAACTTAATAAATCTTGCTTCCCTGGAAAGTATAATTTTCATGGAAGCCGTTTTCGGATAAATTTTTAACATCGAATGTAACTTTAACATATGGGATTCAGTTGTAAGACATACTTATGAATATTATATAAACATCATTAGCAAAATATAGCTACGAAAATGATGCAACGAGTCATGCAAAAATTGACAGAGACCTGAGTGGTAAAAGTCGAAAAAAACTTTTTTAAATCTTGTAAATGTTTATGTCCGTTGAATGTAGCACTTGGCTATATATTTATGTTTGAAATAAAAAATATAAATTGCATTTTATATATTTGTGTGTTTAATGTATAGTTTGATAAACAAGCAGGAGTGTTATACCAGTTTTAAAATACGAGATGCAGCCGACAATCCTATGGATAAAGATCAGCGGATGATGATCGATAGATCTGTTAGTCTGGCGCGAGGTTCTTCAAGAATTTTTGGGTGGGATGAGTCGTTGGGATACTAGAATCCTTGGTGTTTAGTAATTCCAGGCCCTGTTAAACTGGAACTTTTCCTACCCTTTTCTAGTCTTGGCACCAAAAATCCCCACCCCATTCCAGGCTAACTATGAACCAGACATTTCCTAGTTCTAACAAGCCTCGTTTTCAAAATGAGGCCAAGTGAGAAGATGAGGTTTATTTGCATAAAGGAGAAAAATGGTTTATAAATCAAAAACTTTGCACTTTCCCTCGCTTTGAGAAAGAGGCTGGAGGTACCTCAGACCACTGACCTGTCATAAGCTTGTAAGACTCACTGTTCTATTTCAAAGTGCTCTGATATCTGTACTGTGTCCCCTAGGTCGCTGCCCTTACATGACACTGCCCCCACACCTCCCGCCCCCCGCCCCGCCCCCCACCTCTCCGTCTCCCCGGGCTCTTAGCGAGAGTGACTTTTTTATTTTACAAAAAAGTGACGTAAGTAGTTTTGAATAAGCTCGTCCTTGTTGACTTGTTCGACGGTATTTAGCATACAAGTACTACACTGCAGCTCATGCCTAGCTTGTTATGTATTATTTCCAAGATGACACCTGAACTTATGGTTATCCTGGACGTTTGATTATTCGCTATGGTTTCATCTCCAACATGGTTCCTAAAACTATGACGAGAACGTTTGCACTTGAGCACCCGAAAGTGTTCGCAAATGTTAGGCCTCCTTATTTAACCTGTATCTTTCGTGTTCACACTTGTGCAGATCCAAGATGGACGGCGGATTCACACTTGTTCCTCCTGTTCATCTTTTTCTTCTTCAGTTTCTTCTTCCTCTTTCTTGTCAGCTGGTTTCTTTTGCACCAGTTTCATTTTCATTTCCAGTATGGGCACAGGGAGGGCAATCACCAGGGTACCCACTAAGCAGCACACACTCCCCATCAACTGACCTAATGCAGTCTCAGGTGACATATCTCCGTAACTGTAACAAAACGCCAATTCTAAACTTTAGAAACGAGAAAGAAACTGGGCAAAACCAAAAAAAAAAATTGGCAAACACTTTTGGGATTGTTACTAGGGACAATGAAAAGAACTGGCCAATAGCTGACCGGTACGTCACCAGTAACGATCCCACAAACAATTGCGGCTCCAGCCCCCTTCAAATTTCTAAAGTGGCGAATTTTAAAGTGCGTTAGTAGTAGGATATTTGAAAGTGCGGAATGGAGATGGGACTTGGGCGCAATAATTGTGAAAGTATCTTGATGTTAAAATTGGTCCTAAATACAGTAATTTTACAGATTGGAGTGTTCGGAATAAGAGATAATCAATGAGGTAGGAAAGTTTATCCGTCGTATTTGCCTTAGTTCAAAAGGACGTCGTTTTAGGTTATTTTGAGCTCAAGTCCCGGATGTGTAAATCCTAAGAGGGTTAGGTAATATCCAATGAGATATTGTGATTACAAACCACGTGAACGACTTACCCGTAGAGTCGCGCATTTTTATACGAGTCTCGAGATTTGATTGGTTATCAACTAACTCTGGGGATTTCTACAAGGGATTACTCTGGGTACCAGATTTGACCGAAACCGGATCGATCAACTAAAAAATCAAGAATATCGCATATCTGGAATCGGTATCGAGCTCAACCAGGATTGGTCAATACTCACCCAGTTGTGGTCATTGTAACAATGGCATACCACATGCTGGCGGGAATACTTTTGAACGTGGTTCCCTCAACATCTTTCTCAGCATAAAACACAGCAGTAGCAAATATAATCACACCAAGGCCAAACGAAAATAGGATAAATCCGAGCTCAGAAGACGAGTTCTTTATGGAGGAACCGAGAGCCTGGAGTCGTGATGAATGACGCGACATCTTAAACACTCGGAAAACGCGAAAGACGCGAAGAATCGTCAACGCGTCGAAATCACCGGCGCTTTTCAATCCCAAGTCAAGATAGAATGGAAAGACAGCTGCTACGTCCACAATGCTTTGAAATTCTTTCACGAATTTGCACCTGTTTGGTGCAGCGAACAAGCGAATTAAATACTCTAAGGTTAACACTACGACGCAAGTTCCATCAAGATACTGAAAAGCCGTTTTATATTCTTCCCCTAATGTTTTACCTCCATAGGGAATTGTCTCGCTGATGGTTGTGACTATACTTAAAATAATCGCTATTCCTATAGCATAGTACACTAATTTCGCTGTTCTGGAAGATTGTGGATTTTCAAATGTGTACCAAACTTTTTGTCGAAACGTTTTTCGCAAAGGTACGCACTCACATGGCGGTTTATTCTCGGACTCTGAACTTCGGCTTCCGCTCGTGCTGGCGTCGGCGTATTCCTCGAGGCAACAAAGTCCCATCGCGTCCGTAGGAATGCGGAAAAAATTCAGTTCGTCCTCGTAAATTTCTCCGCATTCTTCCAGAGAAAAGTGAAGTTTGCCATGTCGATAATAGTTCAAAATGTGGCGGAAAAAAATAGGATCTGCATCGAAAAAATATTCATTTCTTTCTGAGTCAAAAAATGATTCACGATCTCTGCTCCCTAACAACGTTGCTGGGTACTTCTTCAAAGTATGGTCCCATGTCTCGAACTTTCTTCCACTCACGTTGAGAACAATTCGCTTGTCATTCAACTGCTTACGGTGCAGTATACTAAAAGGTCTTTCCTTGTTGAATATTGGACAAACCCCTACTAAACCGACTTTTCCAAGAGGCAGCCAGCTCTCTAAGTCACTGATGGAGTTATCCATTGCAGTCATTTTGAGTTAGTTATCTTTATATCTGTACAACGAACGACCAGTAAAATCTTGTCCTCTGGCCAAAACGGCTTCTTGTAATTGCAGCTATCGGTAACATGCTGTTGGCTGGTTAAGACACTCATTAACGTGTACTGAATTGTTAATATGTACGTAATCAATGTTACCGACAAAGGCGCTTTACGCCCTTTTTTCCAGTCATATATTTCCCTCCACACTAGACCCCACAACGAACTATTTTTTTAACGGCAAAGCGAAAAATTACTGGGTAATAACTTTTTGTTTCAGCCTTTAAAGGATTTGATGAGATTTTTTTACCACACGCTAATTTTGCAAAGACTATTATTGTTTATATTATTACAGGTACCAGCGATTATTCCACGCTAACTATCAACCACAACCAAAAAAATTTCAATCAGGCTCAAACTGCGACGAATTCAATACCAAGATGTTTTGAGTTCAACGTCGAAATTATTAACAGAAATCAAAATAATCAGTTTTGGTTTGCGGTGTTTTGGTTTGCTTTGCTCCTAAAAAATCATTCCAAAACGTACTTCAGAGCTTATACGTAATATCACAAACAAATTGCCGAAAATTGAAGAATTAGGGTTATTGACTGTTAAGTCAGTTATTACGGCCATAAGAAGTATTGATCTTCTTGTTATTAATCACTCCCGGCTAATCTGTGCCTCTCGTTTGATTTAAAACTCAGGTGAACTAACAACAAACAACCACCTGCTCTCGTCAGTACATCGCAACTAATAAAAAATGCGTAAACCTTTGCCCTAAAAACAAACTTTGAAAATACCCACGGGATTTACGGTTTGTATTGTATACTTCACCATAATATTGATTTTTTTTAGCATTTTTCTACAGTAGCACTCTTATTATGCCAGACAACATTACCTAGTGGACATGAAAAAACTTCAAGCTTGAGCGGGTGTATGTTTCTACGTAGCTTAGTTTATTCAATAAATCAAAGTCTCTAATATTTCAGTTTACTATTTGCTCTTCAGTGGTGTTTTAGGCCAAAGGGGTGTAAATAATACACTTTTTTCTGCAGGTAATGATTAAATTCGTTTTATATACTTGAGAAGACAACAAGTTAATGAAATTTTATTCACCGAAAAAAATGGTTGTTTCTGGAATAGTCTTTTTGCACTGCCATCGTTGAAACAATGCAGATTATAGACGCTTAAATTAATTCAAATATCCTCAATTGGTGTTTGCGATTGATTCCAGGCCCCCAGGGTAATGCATGTCTGCGACGTGGACGATGAACAAACTAAATTGGCCTGGGATCTAGCTATTTCTCCTATCTCTTCAATTTCCTGAAAACTGTTCGCAACTGAGAACTATTTTATTTGCCCGGAAGCCAATGACCCGGATCCTTCATAGGCTCCTGATTTGCCCGATAATTTAAATTATAAAAGATTTACATTTTATTGGTTTTGGTATTCCAAGTAATAAAGAAATAAGTCAATTAAGCAGGTAAGTTGAAAGGAAATCCTCACACGAGAATAACCATAGACTAGGATAAAAATTAGCGCTTTTTTTTTTTTTTTTTTTTTACCAAAAACAGCCTTTAAATCCTATGACATGACAACTTTCGAGCACAGAACTGAGTAATCTTTACGTTGCACAACATTGTGATGCGCCTTTTATGATCATAATTGTATAATTTAGTTTTTACACATAATTAGCATTAATTATGTTCATCTTTTTCCCACAAAGGCCTAATTTATGACAATAATTTGATGGAAAAGTTTCGTGAATCCGCTTTTTGAGAAGCTAGTTTTCTAACCAGGCTTCGATCTTTTCCTCTCTTGTTTTTGGTCTTTTCTTGAAAGGGTTTTTAAATTTTCGTTTCTTTTTAACGCCTGCCTGTGCTTGTTCCTCTGCTAGTCTCTCGTCTTCCATCTTCTGTTTGACCTCGCTAGAAAATGGAATATCATGCTTTTTAAAAGTAGTGCGGTGACCCCCCCTCACCTTCACCTTATTCAAATGGGGCACATTTGAATTCCCCTTTTCTAGGATTGGAGGGGGGCCGCTATGGACGTTATGAAGAACTGACAAGGGGAGAGGGTTATAGCCATGATAGTTATTGTTTTCACGATGTGGTGACGTCATGTTAGATGGAATTACGTCATGAGTTTTCATGTCCACCATGTTAGGAGTACCATTATCAAAACGTTCAAATAGTGTAAGTTTATCAAATGTTTCAAACGGATTTGTGAGCAGTGGGGCGATCAAGATACAAATGAACTTGCTTTAACAGAGAGAATGGAATTAATTGAATCGAAACATGACACAAAGCTGTTACAACGTTTTCATCGTAAACTGACTGTCACCGAGTCTTCAATTTTCTCCCCATTGTTAGTAAAACCAATCTGAGTACAGAGAGCACCTCAGTTAAGCGACACCAGGGAACCCCTCGAGGGTGTCCGCTAGTTATAGATTTCACTATCTGGCTCTCCCAAGATCACATGATATGTCCGGTGACACGCTTTAGTACAGTAATCTTATTAAATCTTTGAATGAGTTTTAAAACTAATCACAACTTACGCTGCAGCTTCTAGTGCGACCAAATCGATATCAACTAGATCATCCTCGTCCTCTGAATTGGATTCCTCTTCCGCCAAAGTATCGAGTATTCCTGGTTGAAATGAAGAAAAGTGAGTTAGGTGCACGTGACTACCTACATTTCTCATGACAGGCTTTCTCTCGCTTCTTGTATGGAAATCCAAGACAGTCTTGGATTATGGACTCCACGCCGTGGATTCCGGATTCTTTGTCAGTGGAACTTGGATTCCGGATTTTCAATGGGGTTCCGAAATCCTTGAGTTGTATTCCAGATTCCAAATCCCAGGATTCCAGATTTTCATCTTTAATGGGGTTCCGAATTCCTTGAGCGGAATTCCAGATTTCAAATCCCAGGGTTCTGGAGTCCACAAGCAAAAATTTCCGGTGAAAGGTGAAGGCGGGGGGGGGGGAGCGAATTCTCCTTGTTATTTTTACTCAATGAAGCCAGTGTACCTTAATTTAACTCTATATGTCTGTATTCCCTCTTTCATGTCAATATTGTTCACAACTCACAACTTACATGGGACAATACTGTTATTAAGATGCACGCAGGGATACCAAAAACAGTTAACAGAGGCTTGAATGATCTTACTACTAACGACCCAATTTAATCAAGCCGACTCAGCGATTATGGGGTGATCAGAAGTGTCAGAGTAAACTGACAGTTAACCTGCGCTTCATTTATACTGAGTTCACTGAATAATCGATATCGTATGTGCGTCAGTGATTTCAATCCCATTCAAGCCGGATACTTATCAGTTTGAGCACTACGAGAGTAGCGTCCTCACCTGATTCACAAATGGCAATTAGTTTTATACATCTACAATGAGAACATACTTAGCTTAGCCCTTAGAATGTCCAGCATTTCCTCGTAAAATGCAATGCTTTCTCTGAGATGACCTAAAACATGACACAAGTTGCCAAGATTTGCAAGAGCCTTTCCCATGCCATGCTGGTCCCTCAGCTCCTTAGCAACCGCAAGTCTTTCTTTGTTACAACTAAGCGCTTCTTCGTAGTTCATTTCCAACTCGTAAATATTCCCAAGATTGTTATATATCTTCGCCAGCGGCCGTTTATCTCCTCTTTCTTTCGCAATGTTCAGTGCAGCTGTAAAATGCCCTCTAGCTGTGGTTAAATCACCTGTTATTTTATACAGACATCCTAAATTACAATGAGCTCTTCTTTCGCCTTTATCATCCTTCAATTCTTGTGATAATAGGAGATGTTTCTCGTGGTATTCTTTTGCGGTAGTGTAATCACCGAGTTTATAAAACGCAAGTCCCAGAAAACTTAATGCATCAGCCTCGGCGATTCGGTCTTCATCCTCAATAGCATCAGCTAAGCAAATTTTTAACTCTTTTATCTTGTCATATATTTCATCTTCCGCTTCTTCTACAACGCGAAAATTCCTTGGATCGTTTTCTTCCATAAAAATTAAAGTTGCACAGTCACAAAGAGGCCATTGCTCTGGGTAATTTTTTCATCTAAACAAGGGAAATTGTACAGCCATGACAGAGGCGCGAAGGCTTAATAGTAGTCAACCACTATCAACCAATCACATCGCTTGATTTATTTATTTAGCAGGTGGTATTCAGACCGGTTGTTGGGTAAGTACGAGTAATATCAGCCTTACAATCAGAATTTGCGTACCAAATTGCAGTTACCGAGGTTTTAGCACTTGAAGCGTTGAATAAGTTAATCGGGGCGAAAAAGACAAAAATAAGTCCTTTTCCGTTTTAATATTGAAACATAGAAGCTTTGTTTATGCCTAAAATTTTTACATATCAATCGCTTGATTGAACTGAATTACAATCTACAATAATGCAGTAAACTATATATATTTCTACTCTGTATGAAAACTAATATTTCTTTATTGAAATGGGAAGAATTTCCGTTTTTTAATTTGAAAATATGGTCGTATATTACCTTGGAGAGTTAAATGTACAACAAAACAGGAAAAACATACAAAACGTGATGACCTTTTACCTTTTTGCTGTCAAAATAAAAAGCCTCTTAATTGATAAATGCATGGTTTACGTCACTCCTAAGAGTAAATATGAAAAAAACAAGGACTTTAAGAAGCTTATCCGGACCCTGATATAGTTTTTAAAAATTACTGGCGGAATTAACTAGAAAACCTTGGAATTTTGACCGTCAAGGCAGAGAAAACCGGTTAAGCCAGAAGTTATTTTTAGACGAAATAACTCCTAACAAGTACATAGTAGGAGACTAAAGAGTCAATGTTAAATGATCGAGAAAAGAAAACGAGACTGTGAAAGGTAATACTTTATCACAAGACTTTTTGGGACAATAAAATTCTGCATTTCAAATGGCTCTCGACATTTTATTCGCCAGTTTTACAATGCTCATAACACACCTTGCTTACACCTCCCCCAAATTTCGCATAAGCATTGTTTTCGCTTTCTTGAACGACCGTACCAAGGACAAATTAAAAAGAATTCTTATACATTGTTTTTTTTTGGGGGGGGGTAGGGGGCGGTAAAAGGGGTTTATTATGAGCCACGTGAGAGTGGCGAATCGACCTCAGTTCAATGCGGCTTGACCCAGATGTTTAAGAGAGGAGAATATCTATACTTTACTTAAACTATACTTTTAAAATCCCTTAATATAAACATCATTTCTATTTAAACAGTTTTTTGGTCTAACTTGTGACAGTGTCCCACAGTTTGACTGGAGATATTGTTTTAAGCCGCGCCTGCTCGCTACTAGGCAGTTCGCTGAAAAAGTTGATTCCCGTCAACAATTCGATATCACGAACTCTTGCTGTATGTTCCAAGAGGTATTCCAAAGAAGACTGAACCTAAGACAGAGAAAATGAAAACTAATTGAAATGAGAGTTTCTTCATCTTACTGCCTAAAAATACTTCCGAGATGAAATGTTATACTCCAATTCACGAATAGGAGTCTATCAGTCTATCAGTAAAGTATGCTAACGGTTTTCCCACAGCAAATATACATACGCATTTTTTAGATTGAAGTTAGAACCTTAACGGCGCAGACACATATATAAACTTCCATTATAAATATTGTCGTAATATCTCATAGTTTCCTTGGTTTATTAAAACCGTTTGATTGTTCCCTATCTTTGAACTTTTGCCTTATAGCCATTGTAAGTCTAGTCAGTCAACTTGGGGAGTGAAAACAGCGACGAAACCTTAGTAAAGCAACTTTCATGGAGTCCCCTTGCTCAACGAACCCAAAAATTGAAGGCAAGCTTCTTGCTGGAAGGCTTCTGATTCTTCAGGATTTTTATGTTTAGCTCATTTCGCGAGTTCCTTTTCAACAAGTACTCCACAGTTAATTTGCAAAAACTGGAGGAACACTGATATTATGTTTTGCGACTGTGGTGTTTTTTTTTTTTTCCCAAAGACTACCTTCACAGAACTTGAATGAACCCCTTTGAACGTAATTGCTGAAACCTAGTTGTTAATCTTAGTTTCACAGACACAAACCTTACTGCACGGACGACTTTTCAGGTGAGGTAATATGAAGGAAATAACGTCAAGACGACCCTCGCATCCTGGCACTTTATAATACGATTCCTTGCTACTGTCACATCGTAAAATGATTTTGTAGAAATGAGTGGGAATTGCAACAGAACTTGTGTCATTTTTAAGCCACCTGAAAAAAGAGAAAATTGCTAGTTTTCATCTGATGTCATTACAATTTTGACATACCTTTAATCCATGTAGAAACAGTTCTTGCAAAGAAAGGTTAGTTAATTAAAAAAATATAGGAACACAGCACTTTTATGTCTTCCTATTAACTTCGCTTACCCGAAGAGAACCCCACTAAAGAGACCCCAATGAAAAACCGTCTTTATCTAATACAGTTAACAAAAATTTATGTTTCGCACTTATCAACGAAGACAGATTGTCCACGTTAAGTAAGCCTTATTCAGAGTTTCAAGCTTTCTTGCAGAGACAACCTGGGTACTAACCTCGTGATTTCGTCGTCATCATCTCGTTGCCCATCTACATCTTCGTCAAATATTGAACCGGATGTGACGTAGACGTATTCATATTTAACTGAAAGATCTCGTACCATTTTCTCAAGAACCAACCAGATACCTAGAGGCAAAAGATCTGAATAAATGATTGCATTGTGTCATGTATTATTATTTGAATAAAGTAATAAGGTTTACAAAGTTTTTCCTTGTGAGTACTACGGCTTAGGACGATCGTGAAAGCACTGTAGTTTTACTCAAGTTCAAGTTCAAGTTTATTCAAGTTCAAGTTTATTAAGAAAAATTGAGAAAATACAAAATATGATGTACCACTGCTCGCAGTTCGCTATAGCTATTCGAGGCGAGCAGTGGCTTGACACTAAGTAGAATAATTACAATAACAATACAATTAAAATACTAAGTAGAATTAATTATTATCGTACAATACATTAAAATAAGCTGAATACTAAATACAAAGTGAATAATTACAATTACAATACAATTACAATACCAAATAGAATTAATTATTATCGCACAATACATTAAAATAAGCTGAATACTAAATACAAAGTGAATAATTACAATTACAATACAATACAATTACAATACTAAGTAAAATTAATTATTATCGTACAATACATTAAAATAAGGTGAATACTGAATACTGACTAGTATTAATAACATTTGGGAAAAAAGCGAAGATTCTCAGGAGAAATAAGGCAGATTACATGGGAAGCTGGAAGGATAATGCAGATAGAAAGCTAATAGAATGAACTGAGTTTAGTTTTCAAGACATATTCAAATCCAATAGATCAATATACTCATTCGCCTCCGAGAGTTTCTGAAGGAGCATATTGTGAATGTTGCGTTTAAATTTCACTTTAGGCATTTGACGAATTTCATTAGATAGGTTATTCCAGACTCTAACACCGTTTCTTGAAAAAGACATGTTTAGCTTGTCTAATCTAGAGTATTCGAGAAAGAAGTTGCCTCTTGTTGATGATCTTGTGTTATGTGAATGAATATTATGTTGGTAATTAAATAAATTACTTATTTGAGGTGGCGATGTGTTATTTGAGACGTCATACATTAAGACCGCAACTGACTTGAAGTAAAGAAGATCTAGAGGTAGTAGACTGGATGAATCGTCTTATTCTTTTATAAGCTACTGAGTTTTACTTAACTCATCATGCTAACGATACAAATGAAAGCTATTGTACAGAACTTTCCTGTGGTCCTGTTTATTATGTTGAATAAAGTGGTTCTAACATTTGAGTCCATGAATCAAAATTCTAAGCAAAACCATTCAAATGAAAGCTACTTAGCAATGCTTTTGTGTTGTGCTGTTTGTGAGGATGGTTCTTACTTTTGAGTTTGAATAACAGGTTTTTACTTAAAACTTTGTTTCTATTCCAACATTAATCAATGACTTTCGAAAGCTCTTACCAGCATTGAACCAATGGTGCTGCGGAGCAATGTTTGACAGTAAAAACGAGTTCATCACCGTCTCATCATTCTCATCAAAAGTATCAAAATCGCCATTGGGTGCCATGTGACCACGGTCAAAACCTGACCTGTAGTAATGAGTACAGAGAGAGGCATGGCCATCCGTTAATCGAATGTCTCGCCGGAAGCAATTTCGTCTAGGGGCACTCTGAGATGCTCTCTATGTAAACAGAAAGGTGTGCATGAAAATCGTTAAAAGATTAAATCTATAGTCTATTAACAAATACTAAGCTTTAATTGCGACAGGGTGATCTTCTTCGACAAAATCCATAATTAGTATTTCTTAGTACTTCCCCGTTTTCCCGGGCCTAGAAAAGCCTTTCTGTTTCTCGTTCATGACACTGTAAGGGGAAATGGGTACAAGCTATCAGCGCAACGATTTCTCGGATCATTTCAGGGTGGACAAGCGCACTTGTGATTGGTTAATGGTTGGCTTGAATACCGTCAACCAATCATAACTAACGCTTGCCCCCTCAAACAATCCCAGAAATCACTTCGCCCAAAGCTTGTACCCATCCTCCCTGGAGTTTGTGAGGCGGGGAGTTTGCGAGTGGAAGCCATATTGTTTTTGACTGTTAAAATGATATCATATATATTTTTTAATTTTCTTCAGTTTGTTAGTATTCTAGACTTTTTTATTTGCAAAGGTGGCATTCGCCCTAATGCATTTGAAAATTATTGACTAATACTGTTTGGGAAGTATGTGCAATGTACCGGTTCATGTTGTACGTTTTTCAGTAGGACTAAGTAGTGCCGGATTCAGACATTGAGACAAAGGGGGGTGGGGTGGGGGCGGGTGCCGGTCATCCAGACCCTTAGATAAGGGGAGGGGGCGGTCTCCAAAAAAAAATTTTTGCTTGGTCTAAAAATTAGGGGGGGGGGGTGGGCCCCCCGGGCTTCTCCCCTGGATCCGCCACTACTAAGAAAGATTCCGTACGTACCTCTCCGTGAAGCTTGTATGCTACCCATAATGGTAAACGAAGAGAGGTGCTATAGCCCGTCACGAAATCCTGCTGAGTAAGTATGCACCCCCCTTTACCTGCTCCACCTTGGGGTACCCCCCACGGGAGATGCATCTCCAACAGCTGGGATACTAAGGACGAAGACAAATCATCCGCGTTAAGAAAAATTACGGGAACTGAATTTTCGAAAAGGGAATGAATAAAAGAGAAACGATTTCTTACTTTGACTTTGATTTAAGTCAAGCAACTTGTCATATCGAGCAACATCAGTATCGTTCACCTGTGTGTAATCGAAAAAAGAACCTAAGTCATGCTACAAAAAAATGGTTTAGAGGATCAGATTAGATCGATAACGTGGCTCCTGAAGAAATAAATACCAACTGGACAGATTAATTGGGTCGAAGCTGCCGGCCTTGCCCTGATCCTTGCAAATGTTCTGGCCATCTCGGAAAAGAACGAAAGTTGTAGGCCTCGTCTTGCAGAAATGAATTGGTTTGTCTGACCCTCAAAGGACTTACAACCCTTACTGTCTGTCTTTTGCCTGCGAGCAAGCTCTCCATTCAGCGGCGTCGCGAGAAGTCGCGCGAGAGCCGCATGTGAAAGGGGACGTGAGTGCGTGGGACGGCTTCACTGCTCGCTCGCGCGTGCGTTCTCTCGCGGTTTGCTTCACTGGCCATAATATGGGGTTGTGGTTTTAGGTAGGGTGGGTCCCCCTCAACGGACCCATGAGTCACATACGTGTATAATACTCTGACAAATTTATGTATAGCTTTGTTAAATTTCTCATTGTTTTGCTTCGTTCTTCATGGTTCTCCTTCTGTGCAGTATTGTAATGTAAAGACAATACAATACAATGCCACGTATAAATTTGTCGGAGTATGGGACAACCCTCATGAGTCAAGTTGGCGCCCATTACCATTGAGAAGGTTTTTGTTCAGAAAAGCTGGATAAAGAAAACAAAAAAGACCCTGCTAACCTGACAATAAGGGCAAACACATTTACTACATTCCCGCGGTTGCGAGGGATAACGACAAGTATCGTTTTTAAATAAATTGCCGTCACTTTTTGACTCATAATCTACAGCTTTCTCATACGGGTCCAGAAGGTGAGATAAACTACCAGGCGTTCCATCGTTTGGGGCAGGTTTGAGTCTGAGGAGACCTGGAACCAATAAGATTTATCATTACAAAGGCTCTCGAAGAATGCTTCTTATCTGCTGTAAAAAACGGGGTACAACCTTATCCATCATCATGTAAGAAATGCTACTTATATTATTATTGTCGGTGCCATACCAGTGAATTACAATGAACTTCCCACGAGTAACCTGGGGATATTCACAGGATATCTCTAGAAAGAGGCGATGCAATGCTAATTGAAAGTCTGAACAATTCGTGAAAATTCCGACGACTGCTCTTATTACCGAAAACCTTCCGAAGATTGTTCGCATATCGTGGTTACTCGAACAATTCTGAAGATTAAAGAAATCCGCCAAGAACTGAGGAGAAAAATGCAAAGATGTCTTCGTTGTAGCTTGCTTTCCCTTGGCCAAATTACGTAGTTCAATTGACGACGCCGTAAAATAACGTTTAATAAACCCATCAGGTTTTCGTATATATAACACAAGTGAAGTATTTTCTTTCTTTTCCGACAATTGTCTTAAACTGGGCAAAATCTCGCACGATACAGCCGCCAATCAAGGCGCGCCTTTATCAACCCTCAGGGGAAAAGGCTCCATGTTTATGCTACATCATGTAATAAAGATATCTGAATTGCCATGTTATACTCTGTGACCTTACCTGCTATCAAATTATATATCTCAGTATTCTGGAAGGGTTCCACCACTTCTCCACTCTTGAACGAAGGACCATGTGCGGCAAAGAGGGTCTAAAAAAAGAACAAAGTGAATCTCTCCAAGAACACACGACGTGGTTGTTATAACATTAAGTACACAAGAAGAGAAATAGTTCTTTTACCCTCATGTTTTCATCTAAGCTGTCATAGCCGTGTTGTCCTCCGTCACAATTCCGCAGTCCAGAAGTTGAACTTGAGCGGAAAATAATGGAAAAAAGAAAAAAATACATATGCTGAAATGTTCGCACGTGTAAATGAAATAAAAACACAAATTTTGTTCACTTCTTCAAAAGTATTTTTGAGTGAGGAATGTAGTCCTCATTTTCCTGAGGGATAGTGGAGCGACTGAAATACGTGTGCGCATAAAAAATACCACTCACGTTCTTCGCACGCGGTTAATTTTCGCGCGCGCGAGTATTGCGCGTGCCCTACCCTCTTCTAGGAAAATGAAGTGTAGGGGAATCAGGTCTATATGGAATATTAACTGCTTACTTGGTTCCAATCTGCCAGCTATCCTCAGCGAAGACGACGACTTCTCCTATTCTCCTGTTTAACAACGATCAAAGATTGTTACTAGTTAAGTGGTACTTTCTAGCCCCGGTAAATAAGCTTGAAAAACTGAATTCTTTCTAATATGAGCACGGATTAAAGTTTGGAAGGTATCATTGCGCGGATGTCACTAAAACAGGGAACAAGGAACTGGGAACAGGAAACTGGGATCAGGGAACAAGGTGACAAGCACCTGAAAATTTGGTTTTGTTCCTATTTTTCGCCTTCCGTCCATCACTGTGCAGAATTTGAGTCGTACCTGCTGTGCGAGTAGTGAAGACGCTTTGGTAAATTTTCTTTCAAAAACACGCGCAAGTGAGATTTACACTGAAAACAAACAAACCCAAAAAAAACCATTAAACATTAAAAAAGCACTGAGATCCATACATTTGAGAGCTTATACCTCTATCTCATTTTAGTTGCTTTAAAGACATCGAGAAAGTTTGCATAGTGGAACAGTTTGACAAGAAATATCGTGGTAAACCGGATCTCGTTAGCTTCCTTGTCATAATGATTCGGACTACAATGAAATAAAGACTTGGTATAAACCGGCCTCCCCCAATCTTTTATTCATTCTCACCACAGTTTTCACTGCACTTTTAGAATGGTGTTGGCTTAGTTTTTTGTTACTTTAACATTCTGCTTGACATAATCAACTAATACAGGCAATTTCATTGGACAGCAGTTATAACATAAGAATGCAAGTTATGTGATGAGAAATATTCTTCTTCATATCTAGAGCTAATTATACGTGTTATAAGTGTGGGAAGGATACAGGCTAACGCAAAGGACTATGAAAAGGATTCACCACAAAAGAGACGCCTGGGCACAAGGCAAGAAAATGTTCTGTTTATTCATAGCTGACGTTATAATGTGACGAAAAAACATATGATCAACTCAACTTCTGCTTTTCCTTCTAGCACATTTCGACTTCATTTGTGGCAACAACTAAAATAGTGTAGCGGGTCAAGTTTTTTTTAACAGGCCGCGCGAGGGAAACACGCGAAGGGGAGAGGCCCTTCTCCCTTTTTTCCCTCGCGCGTCCCCGAGATTTCTTCCTTCGCCCTAAAAAATCCGGCGCCTGCTACGCAGGCTAAAATAGTGGAGCAGGATGAGCTTACCTTAAGACGAGACACGATATCTTCAGCAGTAACTAAGATAGAATTATAATAAAAAAAATAAATATGAGGCATCAACAGTCAATCCAAAAAGAATCAGAGCTGAACGCGTAGAATTTGATTTTGCTGTTTGTTGACTCAATTGAGCCTGTGAATAGAGCTGACCCTCATCGCTCCCCGTCGCCAGGACCCAACAAAAGGGAGCTATGAGGGGCGACTGTATTCACCACATTTTGACTGAGGAATCAAAGGAATATGTCAAACGGTGTTAGGTAAAGACAAGATAGCTTTTTGGCCTACAAGTGTGCTGGAAACCCTACAACCATGATGTGAGCAGGCTTTGGTGTGAGAGAGAATAAAAAATATCACTTACCTCCAGGTTTGGGGTTAATTGACATGAAAGTACCGCCATACTGTTGTGGAGACTGTATGTCATTCAGCGTTACATTGAACTGAAAGACAACGAAAACAAATAAACAAGCAATGCCCTGTATAAATAATACATATCAACACTGATATGAAATAACAAAGGACTAGTTGTTGTCACTAAAGGATTCAATTTGATTTCATTTTTACGTTGGCACAAAAACACTTGACCACACCGTTTTATTTTGACCACTAATAAATAATTTTTGAATTATTTAATTAATTTCATTTTTATTGAAACTGAGTGATCCCAATAAGCTGCCAATAAAAGCGTTAATTTGAGCCAAAAAAAAAAACAAAATCCAGGAAGATTTTGATAGTTACAGTTAAAATTAAAGGCCAAACTAGGAAAAGTAACAAATGAAATACCTTATCTAGGTAAACCACCCTGTTACAGCTTGTTGGGGCCATACCTAACCAGAGATACAACAAAGATTAATCGCAATACACTGGGCTGAAGTTTTTTGTCGCTGGTTTCTTTATCATAAAGTAACTACAAGGAGAATGCCTTCATAACTTTAATCATCTGGTCTTAACTGGTAAAACAAAAAATTTGCACGTGCCTTGAAACGTTTAACTTCACGGTAAACAACACATTTGTAAGTTTTATAAATAATAATAATAATAATAATAATAATAAATGAAAAGTTCAATTAGTTAAACAACAAGTCTGGTTGTGCCTTAGGAAGCTAATTTAGCAAAATGAACCAATTTTGCACTTTCGTTTAACTTTCACTACCCATCAAATTCACAATTGAACGCACATTTAAGCCTTTATAAAATAAAACACTTACCGTGATCACCCACTAAAATGATGTTTATCTTATCTTCCAAACATCGATCTTTTAAACCGCTCCAGAGACGTCCAATCATGCTATCAACTATCTTGATTTGCTGATTCGTCTGGAACAAAAACACAGAGAAAGGGTGAAAGAAGACAACGAGAAGGTCTTAAGCAACTTAACAATACAAGATTTAAAAAGAAAAAACAAAACAAAACAAAACAAACAGCAATGAACAAAACACTGAAAAAGCAAATCCGGTACAGTGAAACCTCGATTTAATGAATCTCTATACACTGTCTACTTAACCCTTTAAAACCTAACATCAAAATTCAAATTCTCATTTGCTATCCCTATACGTTTTCAACAGAAGTAGTGGGGAGAATTTGTTGGAGTATCAATTACATTCATCTTGTGTGATCATGTCCTTAATTCTCATGACCACTCTGTTTTATAAAGCAGTGATATTACAAGGAGAAATTTGATGCTGATCACTCTTAGGGCTTAAAGGGTTAACGAAGTCCTCGGTATAACAATCGATTTTCTTCAGCCCGACCAAAATTACAATAAAATGTAAAGAACAGAACCTCGATATAACGAACCCTCGATTTAACGAAATCCTCGTTATAACGAACACAATCCAGAAACGTAAACGTAAAATATACCTCGGCTCGACTCGATATAACGAATAAATGTCAACATGTGACCGAAAGATAGCTAAAGATGAATGCCAAACAGACTAACGAGGATAAAATTTATGTGTACAGTAGTTTTAAGCAGTTTTGTTTGCCTGTTCTTATAGCTTGGTATACAAATGTTCATTACAAATTGTTCATATCCAGAAATTTTAGGAAGTGGAAATTAATCATTAACTATACGCCGATATAACGA